GTAAGGCGGAAAAGGAGTACTGTCCATCTATACACAAACCGAGGCCGGTCCCTCGCTCCCCTTGGCCCCCTTCAATTCCTATGTCTCTCTTTCCTGGCCTTGGATTGGCGGGTGGCCAGCCACGGCCGTCTCTCTCTCTCTCTCTCTCTCTCTCTCTCTCTCTCTCTCTCTTACCCTTTTGCTTTCCCCGCCTCCGTCTCTTCTCCCTCCCCTCTCTGATCTTCTACCCTTACTCTCTCTCCCTCTCGCTCTCTTCTGTGTCTCTCTCGGTCTCCTCTCTCTCCTCTTTTTCGTACATTTCCAAAGGCGGCCCCTCTGGACAAACAGGCTCTAGACTCTCTCCCTCTCGCCTACTATCTCTCTATGTGTCATTCGAGCGGAAAGGGGGGGGGGGCTGTCGCTCTCTCTCTCTCTCTCTCTCTCTCTCTCTCTCTCTTTCTCTTTGTGTCTCTCTCTCCCCCAAAAGACAGAAGAGAGGGACAAGGGGGAAGAAGGAATTTTTGTGTCTCGGTTCTCCATTTCTATAGATCTCCGGTGAAAGAGAGAGAGAGAGAGAGAGAGAGAGAGAGAGGGAGAGAGAGAAAAGGCCAAAAGAAGCCAAGCAAAAAAGGGAGGGTCAAAGGGGGCTCTCGTGGAGCGGGGTCTCGCCTTGAAAAATCCCGAAGAATCCTCGAGAATAGAGAGGGACTTTGCTAGGGGGAGGATAAGAATTTTAGAATATGCCCCCAGGCTATAGCCTGGTAAAATGGCCTGAAAAATTTATTACAACAACTTTTAAGGGATTGTGTAGAGGCCCAGAGACACCAGCAAAATTTCTAGAGCTTTTTCTATAAAGCTACAGCCTTTAATGGCCCTTTAAAAGCATTTAACTACACTACACACCACTCAACATCCCTATCCCCGATTCAAATATCGTCACGAAAAGTCCAAGAAAGTCAAAAACGTCTTCTCTCTATCTCTCTTGATATCGTGAGAGCTACGAGAGCACGATCTCGGCAAAACACAGTCTCTCTCTCCCTCTCTCTCTCTCTGTCTCTCTCTCTGTCTCTCTCTCTCTCCACTCTCTCGTTATGTCATTAGAATCCACTGTGTGTCCTCCTTTCCAATCCACGTCATCCCGGCCCTCTCCTGTCAAGCCGCCCTCTCTCGTCGGATTCCCAGCCCTTTCTCTTTCTGCGTATTTTTCTCTAATTCTCGGCTCTCTCATCTCTCGTCGTCTGTGTCTCTACACGAAACGATCTCTCGCCGGCCCCGCTGGGAGGGGAAAGATGGGGATGTCTCTCTGGGGTCTCTATGGGGCACACACACTCTCCCCTCTCTGTCTGTCGGGTTTCTCTCGGTCTCTCTCAAGTTGGTGCTCCCTGCTCTCTTTTCCCGGTAATTTCTCGCCTTTTTCTCTCTAGTTCTAGTGCTCTCTCTCGTCTCTCTCTCTATCCTTTTCTGTCTGTGTCTCTCTCCGCTCTATACTCTCTCGCCCCTCTCCTGTCTCCCCCTTTCTCTGCCTCTCTAAAGCTCTCGTGCTCTCTCGCCTCTTTCCCCGTAATTTCTCGTCTTTTTCTCTCTAGTTCTGGTGCTCTATCACCTCTTTCCCCCTCTTCCCCCACTCTACGTCTCTCTCTTTCCCCCACTCCCTCACCCATCGTATTTTTAGTCGTAGCACCGCGTAGCCCCCCGAGCCTCCCGCTCCGAGTGGTATGTTTTGCGAGGGAAGGGCTGGGAATGGGGGGATGGTGGGGGACTATGGGGGGCGATACTCTGCCATACAGCACTCAAACACACATACACTGCCCTTCTTTTGGGCTTGCCGATCACGAGGTGTACGCAAAAGTACTGTTAACGTATTGCGTAGGGTGTGGGCTACGTTTGAAGATACTTCGGGGCGAAGGGAAGGTGTGTAGACCCCAGAGCGACGAACTAGGTTTCTAGAGGAGATCATCTCCCAAAAGTTGTACCATTGGGTAGCTGGTGACTGGGGGAGCATTTTGATGTAGTTTTCGTGAAATTTTGGTGGGCCGAAGTCGACTTATGCGGCTTCGAAGAAAAATCCATACTCGCTGGAGGGGTGGTGGGGGAAAATCGATGAGCCGGGTAGAGATGGAGAGGAAAGGGGACGCGTCGTCTGTGTCTGGCTCTGAAGCGAGAGAGTGGGGATAGGAGAGAGAGACGAGAGAGTGGGGAGGGAGAGAGAGTGGGCGAGAGGGAGAGACAGAGAGACGGGGCCGCCCCCCAGCCCATCCCCCCCCCCTCCCCCCCTAGCAGTCGACACTACAGCACACACACAACCCCCCTACCCCCCTGCTTCGGCTCGATGGGAGGGACGGAGCGGATGTGTCTGCGTGTCTGCCTCCTCATAGGGCCAGTGTCTGTCCTCTCTCAGCCCCCCCTGACTACAGTGACGAAATCGTCTCTCTCTGCCCCCTCCCCCCCTGGCCGAGGAACATTTCATCGCGTAAGTAATTCCCCCGGCGGTTGGAATGGGGTCCGAAAAAACGGAGGACGGGGCGCCAAATAGAATTTGCGGAATTGGTGGGCCAAAGGGGAATTTAATAGAATAAGTAGAGAGTCGAAGATAAGCATTAAACGTACCTAACGATTTTAAAGGGGCTGGGAACTGAACCTGAACCCTGAAACTGCTCTAGAACTGCGCTAGAGTTTGTCAACCGAAATTAACAAAAATTCGCGATTTTTCAAAGCATTACCCATTCAATTCGCGATTTTTTTATGATTTTCAAGCCAAAAACTACCGAAAATTCCGCGTGAATACGCTAGTTACCCTTAGAAACCCCCATTAAAAGTTGATAAAACTAAAAAAAAACTAGAATTTCCAATCCGTTTTCGCATCCCAAAAATTCCGCGATTTTCCAAAGCATTACGCCATTAATTAGTGCTCCTAGAGTCACGGAATGCTAGAATTCCGCAAGAATACTCTATACACCCAGCTTCCCCATGAAAAATTATAAAACTAAAAAACACTAGAATTTTGCAAGCCATTCCAAAACGATCCGCCTTTTAGCGCAGTCGGTAGTGTGTTAGACTCCCAGTCCACACCTCACGGGTTCGAAACCCCGGCCTACAATTTTTTTTGCTTTTTGCCCCAGTGTTTTCGTGTTATTTTTATACCATTTTACGGCTTCTAGAAATTCCCTCGATTTCGAAATGGGCTTTTATTGGGGGAGGGGGGGTGAGAAAAACATTTCGTCACAGGTCGACTCACCCCTGCCTCTCTTTTGCCCTTTCTTTGTCCCTCTCTGCCTCTCTCTCGCTCTCTCTCTCTCTCTCTCTCTCTCTCTCTCTCTCTCTTCCCATTCCACGTGACACCTTCCCCCGATTTCCGCATCTAATCGCTGTTTTTAGCCAAAGGGCGTTATATACGAATGTATGGTATTGCGTAAATAGGAAATACGCGTAGGGACCATTATGGGGGTTTTATGCGTTTTGCATTAATGTGTCTAAGGATCTTTTTCGGGGCCAAAAGGGTCTTCTTCCTCGCCTTCAACGGTCCTTGAAACCCCCATTTTTTTGGCTTTAATGTCCGCTTAAAATAATCCTGAAAACGAGGCGTTAAGAAACCAGTTTTTATCCATTTTTTGGAACAAAGTTTTCTTCAAACTTCGTAAATAAAAAAAACGCGGTAATTTACGGAGTACGGCAATTTGGATAGTCTACGGTAATTAGAAAAGTAGCGTACTCCTTGAAGCAACGTAATTAGGCAGCTGCCGTAAATTGTAGCTTTGCGTATTTTGCGGAAAGGCGGAATTTATCAATTAGCGTAATTAGTTCGCTCTCGTAATTCTCTGTTTTCGGATTTACCGGAATTCCGTAGTTATCGTATTAGGAAAATACCGTATCCCGTCGTAATTACATTACCGTAATCCCCTGAATGCGATAAATTAGCACTGGTAAAAAGTGGAAAAATTTGCACGAAATTCCTGGCCTCATTCCAGGAAACTGAGTCATAATTTTTGGCATTCGACAGAATGCGTCATTTTTGGGTGAGAGTGAGCGAGAGAGAGAGAGAGAGCGAGAGAGAGAAAGAGACATATCCTGTCACTCAGACAGTCACAACCTCCCCAAAAAATTCCGATTTTCTCCCCGGTGCTCCCGGTTCCGCTTATCAAAACCGACAGTCATAATATTCCGCCCACATCTTCCCCCGTTTTCATTAAATGTCATAAGACTCGATTCCCCCCTCCAAAAAACTTATCATTTTTGGCTGCCGACTACGTACCCGAACTATGTACGCATTTTTTGGCGGGGTGGGGTGTCAATGATTGATGGGTGTTTGTGTGGGGGCTTTCAGCAAAGTTGTTGACGACCCCGATTTTTGGAGATCTTGGCATTCTTCCAACAGTTTCTGGAACTAAATTTTCCTGTTATCATCCTTATGAATTGACCAGGGGGCGTGGCTTAATTATTTGGCTTCACTATCCCTTTAAAATTGTCCAATTCTACCGGAAAATTTTTCAAACATTTTGGCTTTAAGCCAATTCTTTGCCGGTCCAGAATTTAGCTGTCACAACCCCTTTAAAGTTATTTAGCGACAAAAACTAATAATTTCTAGGGTTTTGGCCGCCTGCCAAGTCTCTAAACTATGGTTTTTTTTGTTGTAATCTCGCCAAAAATCGAATTTTTACAGTTTTTTGCCTTTACATTCCCTTTAAATCGATCTTCTACGAATTTTGGAAACCTGCCAATAGTCCATTTAAAAATATCTTCCTCTCATTATCCCTTTAAATTGGCACCATGCCAGATGTCGAATTTTCACGGCATTTTAAAGGATTTTTCGACCGTTTTCAGAGCTTTTGGCAGCTTGCCAAGGCTCTATGATGTCGATTTCTACGTGATTTTTAATGTTTTTCATTGTTTTTCGATATAATTAATATCAATACTATTTTTATTCTATTTCAGACAGACGGACAGACAGAGAGAATCAGAGAGCGATGGAGGCACTTCGCATCAGCAGCACCACAACCCACTCCATCCAATCAAAATGCCCAACCATGGCCGCACTCCCTGATGACGTCTTCTCCAAATTGTGCAACATCGCCCTCGAGAAGTGCCACGATAAGGAGGAGAGGCGGAGGGCCGGATGCGGAGGACAAGCCATGAGGAAACGGTAAGAAAATCAACGCTTTAGTGCCCCTTTAAAAGCTTAAAATCCATGCGTTTTAGGCGCTTCAATGGCCCTTTAAAAACAAGCTAGCAAATACCATCTCGGAATTGCAGGGTACTCATCAAGAACTTCGTGGCCGACCTCCTGAAGGCTCAAAATGAGCGACGACGCCTCGGCTCAATCTCCCCGATCTCGTCGGACGAAGAGGAGTGGGACGAGTACGAGGAGGACGAGGAGGAAGAGGAGCAACTCCATCAACATCAGCACACCCAAGTCGATCATCACCTCGAGGTTGACGAGGTGAGGGCAGAATTGAGGTTTTGGGCAAAAAGCAAAAACTTTTGTCGCTGGTGGGATTCGAACCCCGGCCTGGCCGGTGGTAGGCGGGAGGTTCGGCAATGAGCCAAGACGCGTTGTGGCGGGGGGAAGAAGAGAGGGGCCCTGTCCCGGAGGGGTGTCCAAACCCGTCCAGCCTCACTTTCGGGTATAAAAAGCCAACTTTTTTAAAGGGAGTGTGACACGTTTCGGAATTGAAATTTCGGTCATAAAATCCTGTTTTTAATGAAGCAATACCTTAAATATAGCAATTATTAACATTACTTTTTCAGGATGAAGATGACGAGCCGGTGCCGACCCCCCTCCCGCCTCTGGCCCCTCCACAAGCCAGAAGCTTCGTCGACTCAGACCCGTCATTGTCTTCGCTATTCCCTGACTACCTCGAGACTGCCCCCGATTCGATCTCGGGTACGCACCTCGCCTATTTACACCTCAATCTCGTGCTCATATCTTGTATTTGCAAGGAAAATTGGTGTTTTCCGCGTTTTAAAGGGGCTGTGAAGTGATTTTTTTTGGATTTCGTGACTTCAGAGTTCCTTTAAAGTTAGGTTTCTGGTCTCTTTAGGCCGCTAAAAAGATGTTTTTGATGTTTTTTGGGGCTTTCTGCTTTTGAAAACCGCTAAAAATCGAAATCTCTAGTATTTTCTAGGTATCTCTTACTAGCTCTGCCTCTTGCTCACTCACTCTCTCTCTCTCACTCTCTCTCCTTCCCTAATCCCTCACCCGACACACATTCTATCTCCTCCTCATTGCAGTGGGTTGTGAGCAGACGAAGCTCTCATCCGAGGACCGTCTCTGGGTCTACGATGCCTACGGTAGCGAGAGTGAGCAAGCGTACGCTCCTGCTGATGCTGTTTGGCATCACCATCATCCTCAAGCCGTCGAGGGGTGGACCATCTCTTATGATGGGTGAGCATTACTCTCTTTCTCTCTCTCTCTCTCTCTCTCTCTCTCTCTCTCGCTCTACCCCTAATTCATTATTGCATTCTATAGAGAGGAGTGCACACCGTATGACCAGCCCCTCTACGTCGACCCGGGTCAGCTGTGCTTCAGCGATGAGCTCTATCCACAGCGCCCAATCGAGGGCCATGACCATTTCTTTTTGTCGCTCTCCGGAGGGCATCTGGCTGAGATGAAGAGCTATGTAAGTAGCCGCACACATTAAATGTGCTTAAAATTCACAAAGCAAAAAGTTTGCACCGGCCGGGGGTCGAACTCGGGTCGTGTGCGCGGTAGGCTAGAGCGTTACCAATCGGCCATGGGCATGACCAAGTGGATAGCGAAGTTGCCTCTTAGGCAGGAGGTGGAGGGCTCGAACCCTTACCCCTAAACCAAGCCTAAGCTAAGCCTAAGCCTAGGCGTAGGCTTGCGTAAAAAAGCCAAGTCCACTTTTACTTTTCAAACGATTCCTAATCCTCCCCTGCTGCAGGCCGTCGAACTCCCCGAAGACGTCACGGCCGACGGTCGTGAGGTTGCCCCCAACAAGCGCTCCGCTTCCGGTGAAGCCCACGAAGCCCCCGCCAAGCGCGCCAAGCTCATCTAAGTGAACGGCTAGCTGATGCCCGTCCACAAGTAGATGCCCACCATCGTCATCGTCATCGCCACCATCGCCGTCTCGTCCTGTCGTCCTGTCTGAAAAAAACGTCTGAGAACATCTACCGCCAGTCCCACGTGTTTAAATCGTATCTAAAAGCCTGTGGTGAGCGGTGTTGTCCGATGGGATACGGTAATTAGGGTGTGCTTTAGGGTCGAGGTTTTCAAGCAGCTCAGGCTAACATTTTGGGCTTACTGTAGAAATGACTCGATTCCTAAATAACCCCAAAACTACCGTACCCCCTGGCCCACACCCCACCCCGGCTCTTCCCATATTTTCGTGGCGGGACCCGCGCGCGCGCTTCGCGCCGGGCCACCCAAAACGAGCCCCCTTCCCGCCTGTCATTTTGAAGGGGTTTTACACTCAAAAAAATACTGAAAAAAGAAAAATACTCGTAAAAATCTAGTCGATCCCCCCGCCTCCAGTCTCATCTCGTTTCTCTCTCTTTTTTTTCTAGGTTTTAGGCCCAATTTTTCGCGTTAAATTTATGTAAATTTTTCTCCTCCTCCCCCTTTCTTTCAGCTAGGCTATCAATTGGCGCCGCCCAAAAAAAAATCACCACTTGTAAAAATTTTAAAATTATTAAAAAAAATCGAGTCTTGATCTCTTTCTCTCTTTCTCTGCACTCTCTCTCTCTCCTTCGCTCTCTCTCCCTCTTTCTCTCGCCCGTCCTCAAAAATCTGAGCTTTTACCCCCCTCCTTAATTTATTGGCCCCTAACAACGGCCGTTTTTTAATAATCCCCATTTCCCTCATTTCTTCTTTTTTTTGGATTTTCTAGTAGCAGTGATTCTCATCTGTATCTCTCTCAAATTTTGTCGGGTTAAACTTTTTTTGTTTCAATTTATATTATTATTTTTTATGGATTTCCATAAGCTCCTCTCGTTTTTGTATATATCAAGAGAGTAAATATTGAAATATAGACCAAAAATTGTATGCACGGCAAGATAAAAAGGCAGCAATACAAACCATTTAAAGGGACAGACAAGGCAAGAAAATGGGTTTTTTTGGCTATCGATTTCCTATAGATTTTTCCGCGCCGCGGCTTTTTACGTGGGAATTGCTTTCGCCCGCGACACGCAACGCATCCGTTTGCCTTTCGTTGCGTAATTGATTACTCCCCTCCAATAGCAGCGTGCGCGTTGCGTGTAGCGGCTCTGAAGAGATAGATTTTTTGAGAAAAAGCCAAGTTATTTAAATTAGGTCAATTCCACTTACCGATCGCTTTCAAGAACCGCACAAGACCAGCCTTACGCTGCGAAACACACCTATCGACGGAATCAAGTTCCGCGTCAGGCCCGGAATCCCGGTACAATCACGAACAAGCAAATTTTCGGCGCCTAATCCCCTTTTTCAGGGCGAGATAAACAAGTCCCGGAAATGGATTACGGTGTCGAGTCACGTGAAATATGGTCGCGATCAAATTTTGAGCCCCTCAGGGTGTTCCGGAAATCGCACCTATTAATGCCGATCTCGGTCCGGAAATAAGGTTGAGCGCCGGGGAAAGGGTGAATCAGATTCAGGGGGACGGCTTATGTGTGCTTTAAATGATCGGTGACGGCGGGAACAACCAGAAAATACTGTAGCGAAAACACTCTATTTTTACACGGCATCTATAGCTACAGTATGCCTAGTTCAACGCCGACGTTTTCAAGCGGTTCAGGCCAAAACTTTGGATTTTGCTTTAGAAAAACTAATTTTGAACGGCATTTACAGAATGCCTAATTTAAGTGCGACGTTGCCAAGCAGTTCAGCCTCAAAATTTGAGGTCGCACCGCTAAAAAGACCTAAATAGGGACACAGCTACAGTATGTAGTCTAGCTTAGGATAGACGTTTCCAAGGAGTTCGACCCCAACCAGAGAGCCGAGTCGATGTAGGAACTTCTCCGATTTAAAACAATAAATTGTCAATAACTCTCTTCTCGAAATCAAATATTTCGCTAAGGCAACCGATAAACGACGCCGGGCCGCCAAAATTAACCAAGAAAGGATTCGCTTAAACCACCTTAAATTTTGCCATTTTCGCTCATCTTCCGTCGCTTCCAAAAAGCCGACCCGATTACCGTAGCCGCTGGGCGGGGCGTATAGCCTGTGAGAAAGTACCTGCCCTCTGCATCTGCCTCCGCCACCACAATCAGACGGCCTGCCGAGCCAGGTCATTCATTCCAGCCATGCCATCGAGGCCCCATGCTTACAATGATCGATTGCTCATCATTTTCCACGTTTTTGGGCTCCTAAATCTCTTAACAAATTAAAAAACGCGTTTGATGACGCTCAAAAACTTAATAATTACAAATATTTACAAACCCGTTCTCAGTTTCAAAAGCTTTAAGGCTAAACCATTTTAAACAGTTTTGCTCCTAAAAAAAATCTCTATTTCTTTACCCCCATGAATTACTACGATTCCCCACTTTTCATACATAATTTTCAGGGTAATTGGCCGAAATCGCATGTAAAAAACTTGAAAAAAGTGGCCATCGCGCCCACCAGAACAGAAAACCCAAAAAAAAGTTACTTTTTCGAGGGCAGTATGAATGAGGTAGGACCTTAATCGGAAACCCTAAAAAAATCCGTATTTCAGGGGCGCCTGTAAACAACGACAAATTCTAACCACACCGCACAATCAGCTGCACAACGGCGTGGAGTCTAGATTTCTAGGGTCTGGCCAACTCCCGTCTATTAACGTCAAAATCAGCAAAAGGTAGGTAAAAAATTATCTAGATTCGGTAATCTAGTTTTTAGAAAGTGTCCGCTGGAGACGGGCGCTAAAGGAGACCCTGTAACGGGCTGGCATCCAGCCGAAATCAAAAGTTTCCTTCAAAAAGTGACGATCTGCGAAAAGCGTTTAACCTGTAATTACCTGCAGCCAAAGAAATTGGGACATTTTACTGTAGGTTTTCGAACGGATACCTGAATCTAAAAACATTCTAGTTGATCGGAGTCAACGGACAAAAATGCGCGCGAAAAGCTCCACCACACAACTTTCACCATCCGGCCGCTCGGGCCGTCTTCATCCGTGAGTTGAGCTTTTCTAAAATGAGTTCTGTTGTGGAGAATACAAGGGCTAGTCTCTTTCCCCCTGTGACCAGTGGTCCCCAGTTATTCCGGATTAGTGTGTAATGTCTTCCATTGGGTTTCCCAAATTATCGCCTAATCCTTTATCCAGGCTGTTCGAATAAACTTCTACGTTTATTGTAAAGTTATCCATCAGCAAAGAGGAAGACATGCGGAAAAACTGGGGAAGTTCGTTTCACCTAGGAGGGGACGACCAAACTGGCCCGCTACCCGTGCGAAATCGAAAGAGTCGAGCCGATGATAATCATGTAGCTAGTTTTTAAAATTTGTTACAGCAACTGATGGAAAGCCAACGGAGCAAAGGGAAATGGATAAGACCGCGCACGACCTCCAGATCGTGATCAGGAGCAGATGGGGTTGATGAGAAGTCACCGCCCCAGTAAACGAAGGAGGAAGGGAGGAAGGCGCGTCTAAAGGTGCGTGACTCGTTTGGCCCGAGCGAAGTTTTGTTTGACGAGGAAAGTCGAGTTGAATTGTGGCATGAACGCTATGGTCGATGCTCGGGGGGATGGCGCGAACTCTCTGAAGAGGATCGTTCTCGGATGTTGATCGAGGCTGGAGGGCGGCGTGAAGGTTCAGTTTATCCTGCCCAAGAATGAGCTGAAATACGCTGAATTGTGGCTTTCCTCAGATCTTGTTCCATCGATATATCGCCCGCCGTAGATTTTCAAAATGAAGTTTGATGGTGGCGATGTGAGGGGCCAAGGCGTCGATCAGTCAAGTTCGCCTAGAAGGCAGATGCGGACATCGGAGGTGGGTGAGTCCTTTCTACTTCTTTCGCTTTCTGGCAGGAGGAAGCCACACGAGCAATACTTCGAGGTGGAGGAAAAGCCTGAGTCGACATGGATGAAGTTTTTGTCACATTCGCCATTTCGTGTCGAGGAAGAAGGACGCGAGTCTGGATGAAGGGCGAGTGGCCGCGACGCTCACAAGCCGCCCCATGCACCGCCCTTTTCTGCCCGAAAGAAGCCCGGCGCCCGCGCACCAAGAGGCCTGAAGATTGTCAAGGAGCCCCTGGGATGCCGATTGCCGGGACGCAAAGGAGCCAGGGAGGAACTTCCCAAGAAAAGTTCGAAGGCCGTGCACAAAATGTCGTAATCGTTGGTTCTACTTTCTTGAATCAGATCGATCGTTTATTTCTGTGTTGATCAGCGACAAGGTGCTGAAGATGCGTTGTAGGGCGCGTGTCGCGGGGTTGGACGCGGCTCGGATGCCCGCGCTAAGTCCAGGATCTGAAGATGAAGGCTGCGAATGGTGAAGCGATAAGGTCCTATTTGGTATGTGATGAAAGAGGGAGTGCCGGTGTGTGCCAGTACGTCGAGGCTAACGCTATTGGGTCTCAATTGGCTCAAGAACTCGAATGCGATGGATTCGTAACTGCTAAAGCGATACCATGGAGGTGTTGGTGCGAAGGGGAATTTCGAGCAAATAAGCTGGTTTGATGTCGGCAGATGGACTTGGTAGCTGTAGAGTTGGGCTCGACTGTGAAGCGACGCTGTGCCCAGTCTGAGGCCGCCCGGTGCCTTTGGGGAATGCCGCTGTTGCAGGGGGATCGATCGTTTGGTGGGCACTGGGTGCTAAAACTGTTGAATTTTCTCAATGGGCTGGTGTTGTCGTAAGAAAATTCTGGTAATTCGGTGTGTGTGATTTTGACCGGACTGGACAAGTCGAGTCAGTGTCTCGCTTACAGCTGGAATCTTCGCCCAGCTCAGGAGGGTACTTCGGATGGACCTCGCCGAGGCTATCTACAAGTGCCCGTTGGTGAGGGTTCCAAGGAGTACGTGACGCAAAAATCGTGGACTTTTGTACAACGTCTGCCTTTTGGAGTCAAGAAGCGCCCGCCATTTTAAGGCATATGGACAGTCATCAACGGTCTGAGGGGGCTGGGTGGGTGGGGGGAGGGTGGGAGTGAGGAGTTTTTGAACTGAAGGTTTGGATTGCGTGGAAAATGGGGTGGTTTGCGAAGTAATTCTCGGTTTCTGATGACCTGAGGACGTCGACCTGACCGGAGTTGCCGCCATCGCAATGCCCGCCGCAAAATCTAAGCCATTACGTTCATTGAAATTCAATTTTATGGCTTTTTCGTTTTCCTCATTTCCCATGTTCTCGATGAGGTGACAAAAGAAAGTCACTGTGACAAAAGAAAGTCACTTCGGCAAAAGAAAAGTCGAAAACAGAGAAAAGATGGTCGTGTCCGAGAGAGAAAAGTCCTCGGTGGAACAAAGGGTCCGATGGTCAAAAGAATGTGACCTGTCCAAAAGATCAGGACATTCTTTCTGGAAACCTCCTGCTGACGCACTATATGAAGCTACCGCTGATCGTTGCCGCTGACGCCTCGGACTACGGCATCGGTGCCGTCCTCACCCAAAGATCGTGGGAGGGCCGTGCAACATGTGCAAGGACCTGACGGACACCGAGCGCCGATACAGTCAAATCGAGAGGAGGCCTGGCGATCGTCTACGCCTTGAAGAAGTTTCACCGGTACCCATGGAAGGACGTTCACCTTGCGCACCGACCAAGCCGCTTCTCGCGATTTTCGGATCGAAGACGGAATTGGCGTATTCGGCCAATCGTCTGCAAGATGGCGTAACTCTTCTCACTATGATTTCCATGGATAATCCGACCGCGGATTTTGGGCAAGCCGACGCTGTCAGGCTGTTGCTGAACCGAGGCCGGATGAAGAACGGTCATTGCTGCCATTGACGGGATCCGGATCTGAGGTGGCGGACGAAACTACGTTGCGCCGTCAACGAATGCAGATGGAAACCGCCCAGGATCAAGTTCTGCGGGACGTCTGGTTTTCAGTCGGAAATGTGGCCTCGACGGACAAGGACTCCGACTCTACGTTTTCTTCAACCGAAGAGACGAACTCGCTCGCGGATGATGTTCTCTATGGCGTCACCGCGTAATCGTGCCGGAAACTCAAAGGAAGTGCTGGTTGCTTCCTCGGACACAAGGGATGAATAAGATGGCGCTCGCGCGGTTTCGTCTACTGGCCCACCTCGACAGGACATCGAGCACTCGTGCGAAGTTGTGATACGTGTGCCACGACCGCAAAGGACCGATCAGGCGAAAATGGGCATGGCCGCTCGCGCATGCCCATGGCACGCCTATGCCGATTTTGCCGGCCCGATCGATGGACATTATCTGCGATAATCGTCGATTCGTACTCCAAATGGTTGGAAGTGGTACCTATGAAGTCGATCACCGCTACGGACACACTGGAAGTTTTCGAAATATCTTTGCGAGATATGGCCTACCGGAAGTGCTCGTTACCGACAATGGACGCCAATTCGCGGCTCGACAGTCAGGAATGGTGCAAGAATGGTACCATCTTCTCCGCCCTTTCATCCACAATCAAATGGAAAGCGGAACGATACGTTGATGTCGTAAGCGTGCGTTTCAAATTGCGCACTGATGGCTCAAACTCGGATGCCATCCGGATTTTTCTTGCTACCATGCCACGCCCTGTGCTGCTGGCCAATGGGCGTCTCCATTCGAAAACATGATGGGACGCAAAATGCGGGGTCAACTCTCGCTAATCTACCGCGTGTCAAGCGGACGTTGTGAAGGGTGCCACAATGAGCGCACAGTTCGATCGCCATCACGGAGCCAGGCCAAGGTTTTTCACCTGATGACCGTATACGCAAGGACTGGCGCACAGCGAAATCTACTGGATTCGCCACTATCGTCGAAAGGAGTCGAAGGTCTCTACTTGGTCAAGCTCAATGACGGTATGCTCTGGACGCGCCATGCTAATCAACTACGCAGCGCGACGCATTTTCGATGAGAGGGAAGGATGTGGCGAGCCGATGCTGAAGGTGATGAGCCCGTGTCAAGGCCAAGCGCACCTGCCGTCCCCATCCAGATGGAGCCTGAAGGGGGGAGGTCGAGCGTACCAAAAATTAAGCAGAAATGAACGAACTTTATTTTCTTTTCGTGGTTGTATTTTTGCGTTCCGACTTTTCCTCAATTTTGTTTTCCAAATTCACGTTCTCTATGTTGCGCATTTTCCCTTTCACATTCACCTCCTGCTAGGCTGTGCGGCGCTGGTTCTTCCTTAAAGGGGGGGTGTTGTGGAGAGAAAGCTGTCTCTTTTCCCCCATGCCTATGCTGTGACCAGTGACCGTAATCCTCCCAGTTCAAATCGCTCCGGATTACGTGTCGTAATGTCTTCCCACTCTGGGATTTTCTCCTAAATTATCGCTCTAATTCCTTTTTATCCTGAAGCTGTTTCGTAAACTTCTAACGTTTATTCGATACTTTCCATCAAGCACAAGAGGCAAACACTCGCGGACACAACAGTTTCTAAACCACGCAAACTGGAAGTTCCCTAGCCAATGTAAGAAGTCTCAATAGTTTACGAAACGCGCTTCTTTACTTATCTCAGCGCCCGACCGCGCTCTTTGCTTCCCTAAAAATACCCAAATCAAATTTACGATAAAAAATTTCAGGGAGAAGCCGTGAGCTATTGTGGCCAACAGCGCGGAGGATCGGTAACATGCGGCCGCCCTCCGACACCAGACAAAACACCAGCCCCCAATGCAGAGAGAAGTGTCGGGAATGCTAAAGCTTGAAAGGGAGGCGAGATATGCGAAACTGGGCGCGATAATGGGGGCCCCTTAAATATTAAGCCACTCCGGATCGCGGGCTGAGAAGGCACTGGCTGCTGGCCCTCTCCGTCCTCGAGGTGATAGGTAAGCCCTGGCCCGGGCTTTTCGGACTGCCCCGCTGCGCTAAATGCCTCTATTAGCGGGTGCACGCCTTGGTTGGCATGCGGAGGCCCCAGTCCGGATGAAACTCCCTGCGTCGTGTCCCGGTTTCGTAATCCCTCTAAAACTGGTGTTCGTGCCGAGCCTGCCGTTTAGCGGGAACAGCGTTAAGTAGGCGCAAATTATCTTGCTTCCCTAACAAGACAAGCCCGACGAATCGAGAAACCATTGAGAATAAAGACTGCCCTCGATTCTTACCCTACGCAAACAAAAATACCATCAATGCCTCGCCAGATTAGGTCGAAACCACAATGTAAACACAGGAAAGCTTTCCCGAAATCACTTTCACCGCATTACGTAATCAACCACCCATTGACTAAATCAAAGAAGACCTCATCAAGCCTAAATACATCAACAGCCCAACATTGCCGGTGAAAAACAAAGACAGACAGGCTTTTTTAAAATCTTTATCGAAATCGAGAAAACAACAATCAACAGAAAGATAATGGCACGTTAAATTCAGGCCTTTTCCGCTTGTCCAGCTCGTGGCGGGCCCCCGGGACGGGTGCCGAAGCGAGGCGGCGGGTTGCGATCACGGCGAGCCTCACGGGATCGGTTGCGGACGACCTTCGAGTGGATGGCGCAGGCGACGCAGTAGTGCATCTTATTGTACAACTTCGGCAGCGTGTATTCTGAAAAAAAAGTAATGTAAAAGCTCGTCATACCCAGCCAACAAGCCAGTGACCCAGAGATCAACTCAAAAACAAAAAGTCCTTACGTTCGTAAACGGAAGCATCGGCAAGGTCGCGAACGGCGGCGGCTTCGACGATGTTGCGGATGACGGTCTTGCGGATGGCCTTGTCCTTCGGGCAGCATCGGCCGCAATTCGTGCAGCGGATGAAGCGCACGTGGCCGCGCCCTTTCTTGTTTCGGCCGTGATTCCTGCGCTTTACCGTCATCGTTCACTGGAAAAAAACTTTCTAGCTAATCGAAAACAATTACCGAAAAAAAATAAAATTGCTGAGATGCGGGAGAGGTTTTAGGGAAGAAAAATACGAAATTCCGAAAGCATCAACTCCGGACAAACAACTACGTGCAACACCAATCCACGCCATCCGTCATCTGGAGCGTCCCGTAGTCTTACGTAATAAAAAAATCAGAATTTTTGTAAATTGTAATTTATAAAATTTTCAAACAATCCAAAACATTATAAATTTTGTAAAATTTGTAAAGTTGCCAGATAAATCGATTTTTTTAAATCGAAATTTCGACCAAAAACGAGTGTTTGGACGGTGGTGTAGTTTTTAGACAGAAATGTGAAAAATGCTTTATTGCCTCGACGTCTGTTAATGTAAGCCTCGAAAAAGCAGCAGTTGTTTTTCATTTAGTTCCATCGAACGTGAACAATCTAAGTGTAGCGCTTGATGGGCGGGTCTAGACGCTGGCCAACGACGTGTTGGTGCTGTCGCCGTCCTGCTCGGTGATTTTGCCTGAAGGAGTGAGGGGTTTTTTGGCATTTGGGCGTCGACTTGCCATAATTGGTGGGGGCGTTGGGACGGATGCCGAACACTTTGCCGGTGGCGCACTCGACGTCGGCGAGGAAGCGGAGGGCCGTTCCGTCGGTGGCGTTCGCGTTCTGGAAAGAGTGGTTCGGCAGTTTTTATCTTCTAGAGGATGAAAGTTTATTGTATATTTGTTTGACAAGGTGGTGATACCTGCTCGGCGCGGACACGCATTGGGGTGATGGTGTTGAGCAGGTTGATGGCCTCCAACTCAAGATCGGCCTCCTTCGAGCCGGTGAGGAAGTCGAGCATCTCCTCGGCTTGGAGCAACACCCGCGTCAGCTCACCCGCCGCGCTCGAGAGTCGATAGGACGACGGGGCCGGCTTGTCGTCGATGATCTGCTGGCGTTGCAGCGCCTCTTGGGCCTGGAATTTAGGTCCGTCAATTCTTGGTACTGGGCTGTTATTGGGGGTGGCTATCGAGCCTTTACTTGCGCATAATTTTTTTGTAGCGGGGAGTCTACTTAGTAGGTTGTTTATCAGAAAAAATTCTACAAAATTTTCTACTTAGGTATCTACGTTTTTTGACCATTTTGAAGCAATCAAATTTTACCATTTTGTAGCATTTTCTTGATTTTTATGAACTTTCTATATTAGAAAACGTGGTCAACACCTACGGAAATCAAATCTTTCCTCCCGCTAACAACCCAGTATCCAATTCTTTTTGCCAGTTTTACCTGCTCTTTGAGCATCCCCAGCCGGGAGCGGATGTCGGCGGTGGTGGTGAGGATGTCGTCAATCTATTTAAAAGACTAGAAATCTTCAGCGATCAAGCTCACCTCCAACAGCCGGCCCTCCAGATCTTCGACCTGTCGCTCCAAATTGTACAACTCCTGCTCGCTGATGGCGGACTCGCGCATCTCGACGTGGTCGTCGATCTGCTGCTCCTTCTCGGCCAGCGTCTCCTTGGCCAGCTGGCTTTCACGGCTGATCGTCTCGTGAAGCCAGTGGATACGCTCGCGCAGCTAAAGCGTAGCCGGCTGATTCATACTTTTCTACAAAAGCTACCTTATTGCCCTCATTCTCGACATCAGTGGCCAGACTCACCATGTCGGCTTCGAGCTAAAGTTAGACGTATTTTGAGCCGAAATAGTTTCTATACCTTTCCGACATCGGTCTTGTTCTCCTCCATTAGGGTCAGCGACTGCTCGATCAGGCCGCACATTTCGTTGAGCAACTCCTGAAAAAGGAAAAACTTTATAAACTTTTGGGACCCTAGGTAAGTTTCTCAGCGAAATTTTTATAGACTTTCGCAAACCTTGGCATAGTTGTTCTGCTGAGTGCGCAGCTCGATCTCCTCTTGCAGAAAGGTCGCCGTCTCCATCGCTGACGAGTTTTTGCTAATGTGGCAAATACTCTGTATTTTTACGCGTAGCGATGCCCAGAATATGCCAAGCTATGCAAATTCAACGATTCTAGTGTTAGTTTTGCGGAAGCTTCCGTTTTCTTTGTGTGTTTATTCGCTTCGTTCAGTGCGCCTTTAGAGTTTAGCTCCTATTTTTGATTTTTTTTGACAGGATCGGCTTCACCTAGGCCGCTTTTTCACCAAAATTTTCTTTACAGAAATTGGACTACGATCATTAGCTGTTGACGAAGCGTCTCCTTCGGGGAGCACTTTGAGAAGCTCCGATGCGTTCATCGGTTTTTTAGTGCGTCGCAAAGTTCGGGGAGCCATTCTAGGTTGCATAAACACATACATATGGTCACCACCAGGTTTATTAACCACAAAATTAGCGGAAAAATAAGTACAATCATAGATTACAGGGCGCCAGCTTCCTTGAGCAGTCGAGCCAAGTCTCCGGTCTTGGCGGCCCGAGCCGTGTCGTCGCCTCCGCCGAAAAATTTCTGGTTGATGAAGACCCTCGGCACGGAGCGGGCTCCAGTCAGCTGCTGAAATGAAGAAATTAATTAACTGAATAAACTTATCTAACTCGAAAAATAAAAATACGCACCCCTAGGTAGTTCTGAATGTCGTCCATATCTTCGCGTCCGTCAATCTCGACCCATTGCATCACATTCGGGGCCATTCCTTGCGATTCGAGGGCGGATTTCGCCTAAAAAGGGAGTTATTGGAGAGTGCTGAGGGCTGACCTTGTGACAATATGGGCAGTAGGATTTCGAGAAGACGACGACCTTCGACGACTGGATCAACCCGTCAACAAACGATTTGGCGGCCATCTGAAATTATATTGGGGTTCTTTTAGCGTGGAGGACAAACCGAAGGTTCTCTAGATGAGGCAACACCCATTGGGGGGAGGGCTAAAAGAGTGAGGATGAAAGCTTAAAAGGTGTAGTAAATAAAGGTAACTTTAATAGAGGTTTAGAAAAGAAAAGGAGATCTCGAAACGAAGTTTGGTAATATTTGTTTAGTTGTTTACATGGCTGACTCGAAGTTGCAAAGGAATTTTTGACGGAGGGCTACGCGGGAGTCCTCTGGGCGTATTGTCGAGCCGTCTGCCAGCGCGCATAGTTTTCCGTTGGAGCCGCCCCGCTCTCTTGCCCTCACTTTCACTAAAACTTTGTAAAACTTTATAAGTTTGCTTTTTTTCAAATAAAGATGCGTATTTTTCTTCTTTTTTATAAGTCTGAAGTCGTTGGTAAACTTTTTAAGGTTAAGATCGATCGATTTCCTTTCTTGACTGTTCCTTTCTTTCTAATCCTTTTCCGCATGAATTGCGTTGGTCTTTTATATGTAAGTTTTCAAAAATTGACTACCGGTGCTAATGCACTTGGGGGGGGGGGGCAGCCCGAAATTGGTAGTAAGGGGTTACGAGACACTCCGCGAAGCTACTTGGTTTTCAACTTAAGCCTAGGCTTAACTTAGCTATAACTAAGCTTAGGCTTAGGCTTAGGCTTAAGCTTAAGCCCAAGCTAAGCTTAACTTAAGCTTTAAATTGCCTCAGGTGGTCAAAATAGGGTCATTTAGGGCTAAGCTTAGAGCTAAGCTTAGCTTGGCTCAAGCTAAGCTCAGGCTTTGTTTGTATGAAGCTAAGCCTAGGCTTAGGCTTGGCTTAGCTTTTCCAGAGGCTTCGAGTTTAAAAAACGGCATTTGGAGCGTCTTGTAGTCAAAATCCGGACTGCCCCCCCAAGTGCATTAGCACCTGACTACCTTCCAAATTTTTGCATGAATCGTTTATTCACTGAAGATCTCATTACTCTTTTTTGACAGGCGCCATCTTCCTTTTGCGAAAGACATGACCAAATGCTTTACTTTTGCCAATACTTTCAGTTCTTGATAGTTTGATTCTATCATTTGTACAATCTTCCATTTTCAGGTATGCTTTCCCGGGCCGCCGCCTTCCCGCGCCTGTGCACCCGCAAGCTGCACACCTCGACTTCGGTGCTGAGCGGTAGCCCCGAATGGTATTGGGGACCCGAGAAGGCTGCCGGCCGCGAATACGTTGGACACGGAGCCACCGGAGACAACACCTACACCGATCGTCTCGATTACTGGTACCCGGCCATCCGATTCCGTGTTGAGGATGCCACGATTAAGCCAGTCCGGGCCAAGGAGCAAGGCGACTGGAAATCCCTCTCTGTCGAAGAGAAGAAGCAGCTCTATCGCCACTCTTTCCGTCAAACCCTCGCCGAGTTCGAAGCCCCCAGCGCCTACTGGAAGCTCTGCCTGGCCATGGGGTTGTCGGTCCTCGCCTTGGCCACCGCCTACGCCACCTTCCTGAATAACGTCGTCTACCCGCCGATCCCACCGACCTTCCAGGACGAGTACAAGGAGGCCCAGATCATGCGTACCATCGTGCTCGAGAAGGGAGCCTTCCTTGGACCCGCCAGCAAGTGGGACTACGAGAACAACCGCTGGAAATAAGCACCCCTATCGAGTATCTAGGCTATCATCCTGTTTTATATTACGCCGTCGTTGTTCTCATATTCACTCATTATCCTTTGGTGTAACATCTTTAATTGCGCTAGACTCTCCAATTTTTGTTCTCTCTGTTCGGATGGAGTTTGTGAAAATAAATAAATTTAGGGATAGACCAGTCGCCACCAGCTCAACTGGCTGCTCGACGACGGGATGGATAGTGAGCCCGTGAAACATTTTAATGCAGAGGTAATCCTTTATGAGCAACGTCGAATCTTTTTTGCAGCTCACGTCCGTCTACGAGTCGAAGCCGCCAGTGACAAAGACAAAGATTCAAGAGATCTCAAAGGCTGCGATAAAAGGACTCAAATACTATAAGCACGTCGTTTTTAGTGTTGAAAAATTTATCGCAAAGGTACTGGTTCATCGTCTACGGATAAAGATTTTTAGTGCCAACCCGAATATAAGATTCCATGCCTATACATCATCGATTCAATAATTAGACAATCGAAGCATACGTTTAAGCAAAAGGTAAACTTGGCGCTCCGGGGGGTAACTACGGCTTTGTAGGATGTCTACGGTGATCGTTTCCAGAAGAACATGGCGGATACAATCGAAAAGTTGCATAACTGCCCTACGGAAGATAAGGTGCGATCAAGTGGTTGCATTGTAATTTTGTTTAGCCGAAAATTGCGCGCACGTTGCACCTTTGGGTGACGCACAAAGTTTACCCTCCGGAGGTGATCAACGAATACTTGAATATATGCAAGAAGCACGGCGTTGGTGAGCGAACATCATGTTTGCGATTATTGGATTCAGAAACCGATGTCGCTGTTGTCGAGAGGATGGTCAAGGGAGAAAAAGCGGATATGTCCCTCTACGCCTCGGGTGGAAAGCCGCGCGAAGAGAGGTAAATAACTAACGTCTCTGCAAATTCTGTCTTGTTTTAGAAAAGACAAAGGGTCGCGAGAACGGCGTTCGAGATTTGAGGCTTCAACGCCTCCTGGCAAGCCTCCACCTGCAGCCATGGCGGTGGCCAGCGATGAAACACCAGAAGAAGGCATTTCCGAGAAGACGTTACTGGCCCTTTTGCAAGAGGTATTCTATTTATATAGATAAATCCTATTTTTAGACTGGAAACGAATTCGGAGGTGTCTTCGCATCGGATATTTCGACGTTGCGAAGAGCTCATCAAATTGTCCTTATGCGGTTGAAAGAAAAAGTCCAAAAGGCCCACGAGGCGCGTGGTGATCACATCAAGGTCTGTATTCTGTGGATTTTCAATATTCCTTTAGAACATTCTTTCTCGCGGCTTCAACTATAGTGATGATGAGGACGATGCTCAGGACGAGCCGCCAAAGACGTTTAATCAACAAGAAATCCAGAGGCAAGCTTTTCTCCATTTTCTGATACTTGTGTTTAGTTTCGCCAAACAGCTTCTGAAGGAGAGTTCCGTCGTATCTCAGCTAAGAGAGCTGCAGAACGCGCGGTTCGCGGCTTTCAATAAAATTGCCGATGAAGCAAGGCAACGGACCGCCGCTTCACAAGCACAGGCACAAAACGCCGCTCAAAACCAGTTTGGTCTTGCCAATCTGCCCGGCATGCCTGGAGGTAATACCCGCATTTGCAAATTTTGTAAAAATGGCCGTGTTTTCAGCTTCTACGGCCAGTTCGATGCCTAATCTACCCGGATTGCCACCGGGTCTGCAGCTACCGCCCAATTTGGCCGGCTTGCCAGGTGAACCATTCAATAATCCTTTGAAACCCTAAATTTAGGATTTCCCCAACAAGGAATGCCGCCGTTGAACTTCATGAACTTGATCTCTGCGAATCCATTGGTATGGGACACATTTTTATTATATACATAAATTTCTGTAGTTGGCGGCAGCGGTGCAGAACCAGATAGCAGCCGGGCTTCCTCCTGGCCTACCACCAGGCTTCCAAGGTCTCCCTGGACTTCCACCAAATTTGCACCAAGGCCTGCCCCCTAACCTTCCGTCGGGACTCCAACCACCAACACCGACGGTATTCGCCTCTTCCTATCTACTAATTTTCTTTTTATTTTTAGAGCATGTCGCAAAATATGGCATCGATGGGCCTGCCTTTTCTTCAGAATCGCCCTCCACCAAACATGCTTCAGGTTTTTGCCCAAACTAAGCTTCACGCCGCTTTTAGGGACTTCCACCCAATTTTCAACAGCTTATGCAACAAGGTCCGCCCCCAGAAAAGCCGCAAGATCCTCAGCATAACCTCCCGGTTTGCGTGGAAATATTAATATTTTTTCGCTTTAGAAAGACTTGGCTGGTCAAAGCAGCACCGCCCAGCTGCGCTCGGAGATGGAAAAAGCTATGGAGGAGCGAATGAGCAATTCGAGGGACGACCGAAATCGTGATGGTCGTGACCGACGGCGAGACGACCGCGATAGACCTAATCGAGATCGCAGCCGTGAACGAAGACGAAGCAGATCGCGGTAACTTTTATTCAGATTGGAATATTTACATTTCGTTTATGTATGTCGCCTGGAAATTCACAATATGTATCTCGTTCCAGAGACCGACGTGATGAACGGAGAGACCCACGCGGCCAAGAAACTAGCGAAACTGATAGAGAGCGGGACAGAAAGCGTCGCCACATGGGTCTTCCACCTAAAGCAAAGTCCGAGCACTTGATTGGTGTGCCAAAATTTTCGGTTGACATAGTTTTCTTTTAGTCGCTTCCTGCACCCTCTGGTTCGGGCGTCTTCCGGCCAATTGCTCCGAAGAGGAGATCAAGGTAGCAATCAAAGACACGGCGTTCCCGAAGAGAATATCTTTGGTAAGCTCTCTTCGGGCTTCATATGATCTATCCGGAATTTAGGTCGGAAGCAAGGCATGTGCTTACGTTACCCTCGCCGATAGAAAAGCCGCATACAACGTTATTGCGAAATATGAGAAACATTTGGAGATCCGCAGCAAGTCCCTGAAGGTGGACTCTGTGGCGTGTCCTTCTAATTTTATTTAGATTTCTTGGGCCATCGGACCGGGCTTGAAGAACCAAGAAGCTACCTATGGCGAATTTTGGGATGGTGATAAAGGGATTTCTCAGGTAGAGCTTGTAGTGCAAAATTGAAGATCCATTCCTGTTTAGATTCCGTGGTCGAAGCTTCCACAAAACCTGATCGAGCTGACAGAGGGGGGTTGGCTCGACTTGGCAAGTCTGCCTCCGCATCTCGAGGGAAAGATTGACGAATTTGCGCTACCAACTCATCAAGGGCCAATCAATCCGTTGACTGGGGCGCCGATGCCGCAGGTAGAAAATTTCGATTTTCCATTGGCTAACCCTATTTTTTAGTTCACTGGGATGCCTGGCATCAATCCGCAGTTTACTCTACCACCAGCCGGACTAGGAATGTCGGGGGCGCCTGGGATGGCTTCAGGTTAGGCACTTTCTTGCTTTTTTTATATTGATGTTATTTCAGGGCTAGTTCCGCCTCCACAAATGGGCGGAGGGATGCCACCACCGGGAATGCAGCTCGGCATGGTACCACCACCAAATTTCCCCGGTTTTCCTCCGCAAAATGGCGGCTTCCCCGGCGGGCGTCCCGGAGCACCAGGTCCACCGATGCCAGGCGCTCCTCCTCCGCCTTTCAATGGAGGACCACCACCGATGGGCGGTAAGAAACTATATATTGTGCATTACGAATTTTCCGAAAAAACCTACCGCGCGAGATTTGCTAATTGTCTAGGAAGCCCGGCAATTTACGGATTCTTTTGTTTTCAGGTATGCCTCCTGGCGGCTTCAATATGCCCCCGCCACAGCGTGGAGGCTTCAACAACAGTCCCAACTTCCGCGGCGGGTTCGAGCCAAGAGGGAACAGAGGCCGTGGAGGATTCGGCCAACCGATGATGGGCGGTGATCGAGGTGGATTCGCGGGCGATCGCGGCGGTTTCCGAGGACGTGGCTGGAGCGGCGACAATTTCCGGTATTTTTCATGCTTCAAATTCTATTGCTTCCAGTGGTGGTCACGGACAATGGCGAGGTCGGGGTGACGGCGGGTTCGTGCCGAGAGGCGGGTTCGGTGGGCCTCCTCCAATGGGTGTTCCACTTCCCGATATGGTAACTTGCATTTCGGCTGGATGAAATGACAACGCTCTTTCTAGACTGGATTCCCTGGTGTCCAATTCCCGCCACCGATGAATGTCCATCCAAACGGTATGGCTTTATTCCTTGTGTGTATTGAATTACTTTAGACGACTCTCAAGTTTCATCTACCGTAAACGATGATGAGCCGCCTACTGTAAATGCAAATGTGGTCACGAGGGCGATAGATGCCTCACTAGAGAAAGAAAAAGAGGTGACTCAACATCTCGTAGGAAATAATTCCGCTTTAGGCGATCGCTGACGAGCCTATGGATGCTGACAACTAAATGAGATGATTCCCCCGTGTCGGTCGGAAATTTTTTTCATGCCCGGCCCTGCCTGTAAATCCGGTTTCTCACCGAAGCCTTACTAAATTATTGTTTTCCGCTGTATCTCAACCCACTGACCTCGTCCACATTTCTTTTGGTCTACCATGCTTATTTGTCTTGGGTGTTTTCATGTTGTTATTCTGATCAGGCGAGTCTATACCTTTATTGTTACTTTAATTTTTTTAATAAACGGATTGTAATTGGTCTCGTAGCACAACAACTCAATTCGACGGTAATGGCGGACGAGTTCCTCGACAAGGCGCTCAGCAGGTACGCTCGGAGATTTGGGAGGCGGTGCTGATGTCCTCGATCTGGAAGTAAAAGCAGGTGCTTGGAAGTGGATACAAGTATCGGAGGCTTGGTTTTCAAAATTTAAAGGGTTTGAATTATACTCTGCCATACCCCCAGGGGGTATACCCCCCATGGGGGTACAAAAGGGGTACGAGGTGGGGGTACAAAGGGGGTACGGGGTGGGGGTACAAAGGGGGTACGGGTGGGGGTACAAATGGGGTACCCCCAGTAGCACAGAAAATTTTTCTCTAGCGACCTCCCACATATACCACATGTCGGTGGATCGCAAAAATACAACAAGAAAGGACGAAGTCAGCTGGAATTGTATCAAGGCAGTTAATAAAATACCAAATTTGAACTAAACATTTTTTTAAGTTGAAAATTTATCGGCGGACGAATCTTTTTGAAATAAACCCAGAAACCCCTGGTAACGTTATAGTAAGAGTTTCAATAATGTTTTTAGTAAAATTCAGACATCTTTTAAGTGGAAAAAATCACAAAAATTTGAAAAATGTTTACTTCAAGTTTCGTATTTTATTAAATGCCTTGGTGAAATTGCGGCGGACTTCGTCATTTCTTCCTGAATTTTTTGCGAGCCACCGATATGTGGTATGTGTGGGAGGTAACTGGAAAAAATCTGTTGGGTTGCTGGGGGGTGGGGGGTGGGGGGGGGGGGGTGGGGGGGTGGGGGGTAGGGGTGGGGTACCCCTTTGTACCCCCACCCCGTACCCCCCACGGTACCCCACCTCGTACCCCTTTTGTACCCCCATGGGGGGTATACCCCCTGGGGGTATGGCAGAGTATAGTTTGAATGATTAAATTCCTAGACGTACCGTTCTATAGAAGTACATGGTGTTGCGCAGCCAGCGAGAATCGCGCATCTGTTGGTAGCTGGGCCGCTCGATCGGGTTGGGATGAAGGATGTCGTGGATGAGCTGCTTCAACTCAGTCGACACCGGCATGCGCGGGAAGCTGAAAAAGGAGAGGACCAATTCACACCACGAGCACGAGGCTACCGGATGCGGTGGGCCATCTGGCGCTCAATCATCTTCGGCAGGTCGCGGTCATCGTACGGCATGACGCCCGTCGTCATGATGTACAGCACGATGCCCGCGCTCCAGATGTCGATCTGAAGGAGAGGATTCTCTTGGTGAAGTCGTTGGATGAAACCTTGTTGTCGTTGTAGTTTTTCCCACGCAACACCTCCGGGGCCACATAGACGCGCGAGCCGCAGAACGTCGAGGAAACCTTGAGTCATCAATGAATTTTGGACAAAAGCGGAAATCCCTCTCACCTCTCCAACTTTAAACGATCGCGCAAAGCCGAAATCGCCCAGCTTGACGTTGTCGTAGCGGTCGAGCAGAATGTTTTCGCATTTCAGGTCACGGTGCACGACCGAATTGTTCTCCAAGTACTGGAAGCAGGAGTTGATATACTGAAAGCGACTGACAATCAGTGCTTCGAGCAGTTGGGTGAAGTATTTGCGGCCATCCTCTTCGCCGATGCGGCGCAGTTTCTAAAAGGATTTCTGGGGGAGTTTAGCCGGGGGCATGCCTTGATCCGTTCCAACAAATCGCCGTTTTCGCACAGCTCGAGCACCATGCACGTGTCCTTGGGCAGGTGGATGATCTGGGCATGGGAAAAAGGTATTGCGGGTGAGATTCTTCTCGTTACCGTGTCCACATTGACGATATTAGGGTGGCGGAGCAGACTGCCGAGGTAGAGCTCGCGCGGCAGGAAGCGCTTCACGTATTCCGTCTTTTCACTGCAATTTGGAGCGTAGAATGTTTCAATCGGCTTGGGATCGTTGTGTTGAGGTTCTACCCGGTATGGACGAGCTTCACCGCGAAGAGATCGTTGCCCCGCTGTGCGCGAAACACGTCCGCGTACGAGCCCGAGCCTAGACAGCAAAAAATAGCACGTCTTTCGTATCTTCATTATTACCCAGATAGTTGAGCACTTGAACGCCGTGGTTGGCCAGCTCGTTGCGCAACGAGTTGGAGATTTCGCCCTTTTCCCGGTCCGGTTTTTGTGGCATTGTTGCTGCAAAAAGTTCCGTATTTTCGGACGGACCAAGCGGCGATCCAGCCCTACCGAGTAGCGGCCAACCGAGGCGTGTAAATGAGGATAAGAATGGCAAAATGGTGTTTATTAGAATTCTTGCAAATCGGTATGTAAATTATGGTTTTGGCGCCTTCTTTTCGGGGGTCATTTCGACGGTCGGCTGCTTCATGAAGTATTCCTTGTCGAGCACATAGTCCTGGGCCCCACGCACGATTGCTAGGCACCTGAAAGAGACTTCCTTTTGCGGATTGTTTTAAATGAATTTAATTAAGCTTTTATAAGAAGCCTTTCGTCGGCTTACCAAACGGAAATAGCGGCACCAAAGAAGCTGACGGCGGCAATGTTGAACGGCCAAATCGGGCCGAATTTTGGCTCCATCACCGAGACCCTAAATAAATTTTGTTTTAGCATAAAGTAAGTTCTTTTCCATTTTTAAAGTACTTATTGCAGGACGTACTTGAGGATGAAGGAAAAGAGGACATTGAGATCTCAAAATGTTCGCCGTGGTCTAAAACCTAACGGAAAGTTGTTTGATTCCGCCGAAAATTGCTAGAAAAATTTTTATATAATTTTTTTCGCCAAACTTTATACAAGCCCAAGCTTAAAATTTCGACGTCGATTTTCGTCTTTTTTTCGTGAATTTTTCGACCCAAATCACACGTTTTCGCATTCTCCAGGTCAAGAGCTACATTTTGGTACCCTTGCCAGCCGTGTATGACAAACTAGAGCCGAAATACAAATTTCGACTTTGGACCAGGAAAAATTAACACAGGCGACCCAGACTTATAATTCTTATAAAAAAATTTCTAGCGATTTTTGAGGCAACCAAACAACTTTCCGTTAGGTTTTAGACTACGGCGAACATTTTGAGATACTCGGCGCACTAATAGGACATATGGGGGGCGAGCTGGCTGGGGGGGGGGGGGGTTATCTGGAGTCTTACCATAATTTTTTTTAGCATAAAGTAAGTTCTTTTCGATTTTTAAAGTACTTATCGCAGGACGTACTTGAGGATGAAGGAAAAGAGCCAGGCGGTGGCCTCAATTCCAATCGACATTGCCACAATCGCCACCAACGCCACCACCATCAGCACAAAGATTTCCAGCTGGAAATGGGCTTCCGGAAATCTAGCAGAAGCTTACTTGCAAGATCAACATCTTGGGCAGGAACCACGCTGGTTTGTCGTTAATCACGGCGAAAACCTAGAATTTGCCGGATTTGTGGCGTTAATAATCAATTTTTCTGATATAAATAGCTATTCCTTTTTATTTTTCTGATATACCAACTTCTAAATAGTTTTTTAATATTCTTCAACGTAAAGGCTATAGAAATTTTTGTCGAAAAATGCAAAATATCGATTTTTCGAACAAATCTTCCTCTTCAAAAAAATTTTTTAAGCAGTTTTTAGACTTGAAATTTGCTTAAAGTTTACTAAAAACTATTAAAGTACTTGGACTTAGAAGCCCCCCCACCCGATAAAGCGAAAGCACCGAAAAATCTGACCATCATCGCGCCGGAAACGACGGCCATCAACAGAAGGGCGGCGAAGAGGAGCACCACCCACAGGGCCAAAAATTCGGAGCATTCTGAAGGAAAAGTCTAGTTTTTAAGCGTCTTTCGCCCTACGCGTCAATGCCCATAGTCCCGAAGCAAGGCAGATGATTTCGAAGGCGACGGCTGGCAGGCAGGCGGCTCTATGGAAAGTGTTAGTAATTATGTGATTTTTTACTAAATTTGTCGGCAATAATTTCTAAAAAAGTCTCATTAATAATGCGATACCTATAATGGAGAAGATGGCAAAATGGCGGGGCCAAGTAGAAACGATCGTCGGGCGAGAAGCGGAAATTTGGCGGCAACTGTTCGACTTTGTTTTCGTGGCCACCACCCATTTCTGAACGATGGAAAGATGTAGAAAAAAGGTGTCAAAACGAGGAGAGATATCTTATCTGTTACTTGTCTGTTAGCGGGGGGGGGGCTACCTAGCCGTTATTTAGTCAGGAAAATAACTATTTTATGGTGATTTTTTAATAGTTTTTGATTACTAAAAAGGCATAAAAAGTTTTGAACATTGAAAAATTTGAAATTTGTGGTTTTTAAGCTGAAAATCAGAATATTTCGAAAGCTTAATAATTTTTATGCAGTTGAGACAGTTAAAAGGCTTTAAAGATACAAGAGAAAAGAAGAATAAAAAGATAATAATGTCTATTTCAGTTTTGATAGCCCAAGAGGCGATTGGGTAAAGTTTGTGCCCCCCCCGCTAACAGAACAGTGCCCTTTTAGAGAGAAAAACCACGAAATGATCGAAAAACAAACGAAGAACGAAAATAAAAGTAAAAATTTCGTTAAGCCTAGCCGTAGCCAAATCCGGATCGGAAAAGTGCGGAGATCGATCGAAGCCCGGAGGCAGACGCCTTCTCCAGTCCGGGGGTTTTTATCGGTCAACCAGTGGGGAGAAGGAGGAGGAACAGCCCGGAGAGGAGCATGAGGGGGAGGGGGAGGGGATAGTCCGGATTTCAGGGGAAGCGAAAGCTCGTTCTCCCCTCCGCACCCACTGTTGTACCCATTCCCCGTGATTCGATACTAGAATCATATCAGGATTCCCGGCACCAGCCCGGGAAGCGAAAGGAAAAGCCGAAAATGAGAGCTTGAAAAGACGCTAAAGAGCGACCTGATAAAAGCTCGAGTTGAAGGTGGTTTTACTAATTTTATTGTTTTTTTCTTTTAAATCTGGTTAGTTTCAATTTTTTTTGCGTGTGTGGCGTCCCTTCCGCTTTTCCACGTCAAATTGGCCTGTGAAAATGCGTTTTTGGCTCGAGACTCTTTTGGAGTAGAAAGTGGGCGTCTGCTAGCGAAAGTAGGTCACAGCATGATGAGCAACAGGCTGGTGATCCGGCGGATCTCTTGAAATCGAATAACGGGAAAAAAATCAAAGAATTTTTTTATATAACAGAAAAAGTATAAAACGACCATATCCTAACTTTATAAGAATAGAAGAATAGAAGAAATGTATTCATTTAAAATGTTTAAAAAATCGAAAAATTTACTAAAATGTTTGTATTTTTGTTGTCAAAAATGTTAAAAAATGTTTAAAAATACAAATTTTTAATGATTTTACGTTTAAAATTGGCAAAAATGTTTTGGAAATATGTGATTTAATTATATCCTAAAAATTGGATCCTAAGAACGAAGCTTATCCCCCACCGATATTGCAAAAGAAGCGTTTTTCGAATAAATTTAAGCTTCATGACTTTATTTCCGTCTCGTAGTCGGGGGTAGCGGGCGTAGCCCGCTAATCTGTAGTTTTGTTTCGATGTCATCGGAGTGGTTGTCGTTAATGCTTGCTTGAGCTGGCCCTGCAATTGGAAACTTGCCGATGAAGTGGCCCAATCTGAGAAGCCGAGGTATGACGAGGTCTACACGTCTAGCCGGCCCTGCAAAATCTCCAGCTCTTGCTCATTTTACTTGCCCGGGTCGACGTCAATGTTGCAGATGAGAATAGATTCCCCGAAAATGGGCGGATGTACTCGTTTTACACCTGCTCGGAGACGTCGAGAGTACCCGGATGCTGAAAAATGTGTACATGTTTTATTGGAGTGGATATGCGGGTTTTAGGCCATTTTATAGCTCGTAAAGTGCCCTCCGATTCCTCAAAAAATCTCTGCTAGTCTGCCCTCCGATTCCTCAAAGAATCTCTGCTAGCCTGCCCTCCGATTCCTCAAAGAATCTCTGCTAGCCTGCCCTCCGATTCCTCAAAGAATCTCTGCTAGCCTGCCCTCCGATTCCTCGAAGAATCTCTGCTAGCCTGCCAGACTGACTCACAAGCGATTTTTCACAACGTCCTACTAAACTTCCGTCGCTAACAGCCTAGTACCGAGTTTTTCAGCTTTAGATCCTAGACTCCTAATTTTCCATCCCCCTGGTGATGAAGTACGAAACTTTTCTAATGCCACTCCAGCCCTACTCGTCCTCTTGGAACGAAAGAGAAGAGGGCAACACCTCCTTTTTGAATAGGCCCCAAATTGAGAGCGCAAAAAATGAGGAATCACCCAGGGGGAGGGGCTGCCCTCCCCCCCCCCAGAAGGGCCCTCATTCCGATTTGTTTCTATGTCCGGTGTAGTCCGGATGGACTTATGAATGAGAATAGCATGGCGGGTATGCGTTTTTCGGGTTCTCACACTTTTTGGGGGGAGGCGGATTGTAGCGGAAATCGGATGGTGGAATCTTATGAATTTGAGGGTAATTTCGCGCTTAGGGGTTCGGATTTCCTCAATGATCCCTGCTAGCCTGCCCCAGCTAGGTTTTGGCACCTAAATATTCCAAATTATCTATGATAACGTTTTCAATCTCGCTATCTCTCTCGCGCTCTTACTCTCGCTCTCTCTCTCTCTCTCTCTCTTTCATTCACACTCACTCACTCCCTCTTTATCTCTCACTCTCTCACTCTCTCTCTCGCTCTCGCTGCCTTTCTCTCTCTCTCTCGCTCGCTTTTCCTCAAGTATCACTGCCGCCCTTCCCTTTTCGCTTCCCATTCCCTTTAAACCCAACCCAATCTGACCACCTTCCGACCCGTTTGAACCGGCTTTTCCCCGAATGTCTGGCCAGGTCGAGGTCGTGTTTTTGCCTGGGACACTTGTTTGAAGGCGTGGGCGCTAGTCGAGACGAAGGAGAAGCACACCTTCTGCTGCTCCTCCGCCTTCATCCCACCGTGGGACCATCCCCCCTCTTAGGGTCCAATAGTCTTAGGGCCCAGAGGGTGGCCAACGGGTGCAAAAAGTTTCGGACCTAAGGCGGGCAAAGGGCGGTAGGTTGGATATTTGGTTGGGCTTCCCAAACAAGCTCTGCTAGCCTGCCCACCGATTCCTCAAATAATCTCTGCTCTTCTCTGCCATTTTCGAGCCATAATTCCTCTTGGAATATTGCCAAAAGTCCAAAGTTCCCGCGTCCTTCAAGGACTGGGGGCCTAATTGGGTCATCCAGACAATATAAGAAGCCGAAGCCGAGGGCACAGAATAATTTATTTCTTTTCGGGGCAGATTGAGGTTTGGAGGTGGCCAACCGGAAGTGATTTTCAACAGAAGAAGGTCGTTAGCCGGCCCGCCGATTCCTCAAAGCATCTTTGCTAGCTGCCCTGAAACAGCCCAAAGAATCCCTGCTAGCCTGCAAAAGCTTGACCAAAAACCAGCCACTTCTCGTCCCTTTTAAGGACACCGCTCCAACGAACGGTTGAACGCCTTGGAATCGTTGATGACTGGTCTCTCTCCTAGTCTCTCTCTTCTCTCGCTCTCTCTCTCTCTCCTCTCTCCCTCTCGCTCACTCTCTCGCTCTCTTTCCATTCTCACGCCCTCCTCCGTCTGTCCCGTCAATTGGCCATCAGCGTATCGCTACCGTACCCTCTCAGCTAATTGTCGAGTTGGGCTGGATTCGCACGCTTTTGCTGAGATACTACAACACGGAACTCGCGACATTTTTAGCCCACCGATTTTGAGACATTACGGCGCACTTAGTTGATCACGAGTTTTTAGAGGATGTCTGCTAGCCTGCCCCCCGATTCCTCAAAGAATCTCTGCTAGCCTGCCTTCCAATTCCTCAAAGGATCTTTGCTAGTCCCCATGATTTTTGGCCAATATCCCGAAACCTCAATCTCAGCCCCCCCTACATCGTAATTATCAATTCTGGCGGAAATGTGCGCCGGAGGGCACATTTCAAATTCTTTTCCCGGTTTGTAACTCTTGACATGGGGCCGCCCGATTTTATTCACCCTTTCATTCCCATTGAATAGCGGAGGGGGATTGTCCCGGAATATCGGGGGACCAGAATCAAAGCAGAAGGGTGGACTAGCAGGGATTCTTGGCGCCTAACTGGAAACCCAAGTTTCTTGGTTCATCATATATTTTGATAGTTTTTTAGTGAATTTTTTTATGTTAGAATGTCATAGAAAAATTTAACCGTTGAAAATTTTGATTTTTTATGTTTTTGTTCAATTTTGATGTGCTCCAGAATTCAAAGGGCAGGCTAGCAGAGATTCTTTGAGGAATCGGAGGGCAGACTAGCAGAGATTCTTTGAGGAATCGGAGGGCAGACTAGCAGAGATTCTTTGAAGAATCGGAGGGCAGGCTAGCAGAGATTCTTTGAAGAATCGGAGGGCAGGCTAGCAAAGATTCTTTGAGGAATCGGAGGGCAGGCTAGCAGAGATTCTTTGAAGAATCGGAGGGCAGGCTAGCAGAGATTCTTTGAGGAATCGGAGGGCAGGCTAGCAGATATTTTTTGAGGAATCGGAGGGCAGGCTAGCAGAGATTCTTTGAGGAATCGGTGGGCAGGCTAGCAGAGATTCTTTGAGGAATCGGAGAGCAGGCTAGCAGAGATTCTTTGAAGAATCGGAGGGCAAGCTAGCAGAGATTCTTTGAGGAATCGGAGGGCAGGCTAGCAGAGATTCTTTGAAGAATCGGAGGGCAGGCTAGCAGAGATTCTTTGAAGAATCGGAGGGCAGGCTAGCAAAGATTCTTTGAGGAATCGGAGGGCAGGCTAGCAGAGATTCTTTGAAGAATCGGAGGGCAGGCTAGCAGAGATTCTTTGAGGAATCGGAGGGCAGGCTAGCAGATATTTTTTGAGGAATCGGAGGGCAGGCTAGCAGAGATTCTTTGAGGAATCGGTGGGCAGGCTAGCAGAGATTCTTTGAGGAATCGGAGAGCAGGCTAGCAGAGATTCTTTGAAGAATCGGAGGGCAGGCTAGCAGAGATTCTTTGAAGAATCGGAGGGCAGGCTAGCAGAGATTCTTTGAGGAATCAGAGGGCGGGCTAGCTACGATTCCTTCGGATTTTCAAGGCATTCTAGCAGAGATCACTGAGACCGTTTTCTGATGCCAATTTAATAGATTCCCTTGCAAGATCTGCACTCTCTCTCCTCACCCACGAGAATCATGCCCAAAAATAGCCTTTTGGGTGGGCGTGTGAGGGTAAAGTTACGCCCTCGATTCCCTTCGAAATCTGAATCTGGCCTCCTCTGCCGTGCCGCTATAATTAATTATTAAAAGGGGTGCAGAAGGTTTCGGGGAAGTCCTTTTAGGAAGTACCCCTCTTTTTAGAACTATAAGCTTAATATATCTTTTTTTTTGCTTCTTTGTCATTTGAGGGGGTGGCGATTTTTTTCATCTAAGCCCGCTTGCTTTGTAATCTAACAGTCATTGTTTAATAGTGTTTTAAAAGAATTTCAGCAGAAATTTGCAAAGTTTTCAACTAAAAAACATTATCTAAAAACTCAAAGAAATTTTGAAAGCGTCTAAATTTTGGTCAAAAACGGAAAAAAATTGTATGAAAATCGATATTTTTGTACTTTTTTTTTAAGAAATAGTTGTCAAGTTTTTGCGTTTATGAATAGTAAAAAAACCCTAGAAAAACTTCGTCTATTTATATTAGAAAAATCGGATACTTGGGAAAAGTACCCCCCCCCCCCCCCCGATAATGCATAAGAACCTTTTTCTTTTATTTGTGTTTAATGGGCTTTTTATAATTTTCAATTTTCTCTTTTCAACTCTCAATTCCAGAATACACCGCTTGACGGTTGAGGCATCAACGAAAACCCAAAGATGTTGCGCGCCTACTCGGTCCGCCGCAAACAGGACCTGCGGGCACGATTTTCCAGTGAGTTTTTGAAGGTATTAAAGGTATTGTGAAGGGAGAACCTCTACATAAAACAAATTTTAAATAATAATTTGACCTCCTAAACCCTAAAAAAAACAAAAAACGCCCAATGGGCAGTGTGGCCAAGTGGTTAGCATTGTTACCGCTCACCCACACGACCCGGGTTCGACCCCCGGCGCGGCGTACTTTTTGCTTTTTGGAAGAGAGCTCCGGGAAGGTATTGGAAAACTATTAACAATAAGGATAAGGCACTGGCAGGCTTGCAGAGATTCTTTGGGGAAGTTCTGCCGAGGGCCCCGGCTAGACAGAAGGGCTCGCCATAATGACTCTTAAGGAGGATTTTCTGGAATTTTGAATTTGCTAGGAAAGGGGAGACTTTGGAGACCATCGATCCACAAACTGGAAACTGCTTCAAAAATTCTAACTTCTATAATTCTTAAATTACTACAAAACTATGCGAAAATCGGTGTCGGTGGATGCGAGGATGTTGCGGGTATCGTGGAAGGGATATCGATACGGTAAGGGGGTGTATAGTAGAGATTATTTGGGAATCAATCTCTTTAATGCTTCTTCCATGTCCCTTTAACGCTCTTTAAAGGGACAGTGACATTAGTTTTCCCCTATATTTTTGTGAAGAGTATCCCTCTGGAATTCCCCCTCCTCGACAGCTTTCTGGGTGGTCGGGGTGGATGGGTCGAGAAGATCTATTCGCCTATTTGTCGGCAGGGTTCATTTCCGGAAGATTGGCCCATCCCTTTCTCTCTTTCTCTCTCTCTCTCTCTCTCTCTCTCTCTCTCTCTCTTCTGAAAGAGCAAGAGATCTATTCTACCAATATGCATAACCAGCCCTACACCTGAAGATACTAATAATCCACATGGGGAGCGAAGAGAGGCAGCCTTTTCTGGGTAAGATCGGGCTTCTGCATTTCCTAAAGAATCTTTGCCAGCCTGCCCTCCGATTCCTCAAAGAATCTCTGCTAGCCTGCCCTCCGATTCCTCAAAATCTCTGCTAGCCTGCCCTCCGATTCCTCAAAGAATATCAGCTAGCCTGCCCTCCGATTCCTCAAAGAATATCTGCTAGCCTGCCCTCCGATTCCTCAAAGAATCTCTGCTAGCCTGCCCTCCGATTCCTCAAAGAATATCTGCTAGCCTGCCCTCCGATTCCTCAAAGAATATCTGCTAGCCTGCCCTCCGATTCCTCAAAGAATTCTGCTAGCCTGCCCTCCGATTCCTCAAAGAATCTCTGCTGCCTGCCCTCCGATTCCTCAAAGAATATCAGCTAGCCTGCCCTCCGATTCCTCAAAGAATATCTGTAGCCTGCCCTCCGATTCCTCAAAGAATCTCTGCTAGCCTGCCCTCCGATTCCTCAAAGAATATCTGCTAGCCTGCCCTCCGATTCCTCAAAGAATCTCTGCTAGCCTGCCCTCCGATTCCTCAAAAGAATCTCTGCTAGCCTGCCCTCCGATTCCTCAAAGAATCTCTGCTAGCCTGCCCTCCGATTCCTCAAAGAATCTCTGCTAGCCTGCCCTCCGATTCCTCAAAGAATATCTGCTAGCCTGCCCTCCGATTCCTCAAAATCTCTGCTAGCCTGCTCGCTCTTTTTGCTATTATTTTGTCTCCTCCTCCATGAAAATCATAAGGTTTTGGCTGGCCGGATGGGGGCAAAAATTGGTTTTTATGTTTTGTTTTTTGTTCTGGTTTCGATATTAAAATTTTTGTCTATGACGGTTAAGGAAAATCTAGAAGCATTTGATGGCTAAAAAATTTTCATGGGATTCTCCTTTTTATGGAGTTTTTTTTGGGAAATCTTTAGGGGGCTAGAAGGGCAGAATAGCGTTGCGATTGCGTACCTGAATGCCCAATTGGACAGCCGATATTCTTGCCTTGTTGGGCGTACCCAAATGATATGCAAATAACCGGAATATACCCCGAGAATTCCTGCATTCGATCCCCCACCTTCTTTTTGCATATTAGAAGTTACGCCGATTTTTTTTTTTGATTTTTCGCGTTTTTAGACCATTACAGCTTCCGGTTATCTTCAGAAGCTTTTAAAACCGGAAAAGAAGCCATTCGGAATCTGTTCATCAAAAAGCAAAAACTTTCACCCGGCCGGGGATCGAACCCGGACCTTATGGGTGGGTGGCAACATCGCTAACCACTAGACCACACCTGCGAAACTGCATAAGCTTTTTTAGTTTTCCTGTGAAACATTCTGCGGGTTTTTGCTAGAACTAACGCATTCTTTGTGAACGGCCCAAACAAAATTGAACCCAGAAAGAACAGAGCTTTTTAAGCATTTTTTTGGGATTTTTTTTGATCCTTATCAACCTCTAAAAACCTTGTGGCCAATAAAATTCTTGGCTCCGCAGCAACGAGAGCAAACAGAAAATTCGGCAATACATCTATTCAATTCCCAAAGACCCCAAATCCCCCCAAATGATCCGTGCTAGCCTGCCCTGTTCTATGAAAAATCCCGACATGTAGCCACTCGATTTGAGTGAATGATGAATTGAGAGGGGTCGAGTCTCCTTCTTATTAATCTTCATATGTTGCTCTCTCTCGCTCTCTCTGTCTCTCCCACTCTCTCGCCCTCCAGGTGGTCTGAGACAGATGTGAGACATCGTCCAACGCTAGGTCTCGGAGTTTTGAACCCATTTTCTGTATTTTGGAGGTTGAAAGCGAAGGCTAGCAGAGATTCTTTGAGGAATCGGAGGGCAGGCTAGCAGAGATTCTTTGAGGAATCGGAGGGCAGGCTAGCAGAGATTCTTTGATGAATCGGAGGGCTGGCTAGCAGAGATTCTTTGATGAATCGGAGGGCAGGCTAGCAGAGATTCTTTGAGGAATCGGAGGGCAGGCTAGCAGAGATTCTTTGATGAATCGGAGGGCTGGCTAGCAGAGATTCTTTGATGAATCGGAGGGCAGGCTAGCAGAGATTCTTTGATGAATCGGAGGGCAGGCTAGCAGAGATTCTTTGAGGAATCGGAGGGCAGGCTAGCAGAGATTCTTTGATGAATCGGAGGGCAGGCTAGCAGAGATTCTTTGAGGAATCGGAGGGCAGGCTAGCAGAGATTCTTTGGGAAGTTTTGCCCTTTTTTCCTGAATTTCCCATTGAACCGACTTGAAATGGTCAGCAGGGGGGTGTGAAAGCTAAATATTGACCCTTTTCCTTACGGGGTCATTGATAAGCTGTGCCAATGGTTGGGGGCCAAGTACGCGCGACACCTGTTAACACTTTATTTCCACTTTGAAAACACGTTTCAAGGGGCCGTGAAGGCAAAATAGCACTATAACCTGGGAAATGTGTCAAATTATTTTACGAATTTTTTGAAGAACTACCAAGGATAGAATTTAGCAATTTATGCCTTCGACGCCTAAAAAGAAAATACCTAGAAATCATTCTACATTTTTCTAGTAATTTTTTTGCAGCGGCCCTGGAAGAGGTGCTGCCGGAGATGGCCGAAAATTCGAGTGGCGGCGAGCAAGCGAGGGTAAGTGTCGTTTTTCGACGCGTAGTGGACGCGTCGCGGCTACGCGACGCGACCGCCACGCGCCTGAAAGATCCCTTCATTTTCCATTTTTTCATTTTCAGCCGGCTCCCAATCAGGTAGACGTTGTGTCCAATTGTGTGTCCCTTGGTTTCCTAAACCGTGCCCTTGTCTGCCGTAACTCGTTCATTTTCAGCTCTCTTGTCGTGGGGACAGCGTCGTTCGCGGCTATCGAGGTGGGTTTTTGATTTTTGGTGCTTTTTCATTATCGGGGGGGGGTCTTTTAATAACGTTTTTAATACATTAAGCTGCTAATTACAAACTACAATTTTTTAGCCCTTTCCCCGGCCGCCGACTACACACCACAACCCCCTGACAAACCCGGACTGCTGGCAATCGATTCGGTGGAATTGAATGGTAAGAAATAGGACTGGGCAGGCTCGCAGATATCTTTTGGGAAAAGCGCGGTAGCTGGCACTATCCCTTTAAAACGGTAGGGCAGGCAAGCAGAGATCGTTAGCAGTAAACTTGCCCTCAGTTTCCTCAAAGAATCCCTGCTAGAATGCCCCCCTTTTCAGGCAATACCCGGAAGGAATCTCGTCAAACGCCAGTCTCCCGTATTGCCTCATTGAGACGTCGAAGCAGTGTGGCCAGAGACAAGTAAATAGTTGTAGTTTGTAGTCCATAATATACTCTATATAGATGGTCAAACAAACTCGAATTCCTTCTTGCCGTCATTGGGTATGCCGTGGATTTGGGGAATATTTGGCGTTTTCCGTCGATTTGCTACAAACACGGAGGAGGTATGGATTACGCCTTCTAGGTGACTATAAAGGAGCGGGCAGGGCGAGAAGGCTTAGGCTTGGCTTAGGCTTAGGCTTAGGCTTAGGCTTAGGCTTTGGCTTAGGCTTTGGCTTAGGCTTAGGCTTAGGCTTGGGCTTAGGCTTAGGCTTAGGCTTAGGCTTAGGCTTTGGCTTAGGCTTGGCTTAGGCTTAGGCTTAGGCTTAGGCTTAGGCTTAGGCTTAGGCTTAGGCTTAGGGCTTAGGCTTAGGCTTAGGCTTAGGCTTAGGCTTAGGCTTAGGCTTAGGCTTTGGGCTTAGGCTTAGGCTTAGGCTTAGGCTTAGGCTTAGGCTTTGGCTTAGGCTTAGGCTTAGGCTTAGGCTTAGGCTTAGGCTTAGGCTTAGGGCTTAGGCTTGGGCTTAGGCTTAGGCTTAGGCTTAGGCTTAGGCTTAGGCTTTGGCTTAGGCTTAGGCTTAGGCTTGGCTTAGGCTTAGGCTTAGGCTTAGGCTTAGGCTTTGGCTTAGGCTTAGGCTTAGGCTTAGGCTTGGGCTTAGGCTTAATAAAAAACAATTTAAAAATTGCAGGCGCTTTCCTCGTCCCCTACCTAATAATGCTTCTCATTGGCGGGTTGCCAATGTTCTACATGGAGCTGGCACTCGGCCAATTCCACCGCTCTGGCTGTATCTCTATATGGCGCAAAATTTGCCCAATGTTTAAAGGTATCAAAATTTCCCAAAAATCACCGCTAGCCTGCCCTCCCATTTTAAGGCATCGGCTACGGTATCTGCTTCATTTGCACGTTCATCGCCTGCTTCTACAATGCCATCATCGCCCAGGCCGTCTATTTCACGTTTAGCAGCATCGCGGTGCGGAGTTTTTTGGGTTTAAGGGGGCTGGAAAGGTTGAAAATTGGAAAATCTATAGGAACATTTCAACTTTAAGCAAAAAGCAAAAAATTTGGTGGTCCGGGGAATCGAACCCCCGAGCTTTGGATTGAGAGGCCAACGCCCTACCGACTGCGCCAAAGTTTCAATTCGCTAAAATTTTTCCAAAAATTCAAAGATCCTTACCAAATCCGTTTCTTTTGTGCCCCTTTAAAATGACCATTTTCAGCTAGAAGTCCCTTGGGCCACTTGTAACAACACTTGGAACACCCCCAACTGCTCCGACTCGTTGACCCATACCGGCCAACATCTACGAACACCGTCAGAGGAATATTTTCTGTAAGTGCAGCAGGTGCTTTGGCATTATTGGGGGGGAGGCTGGGGTTTTAATAAACAAACTATCTACAGATAAAAAAAATTGCATATAAACTTTTAAAAATTTTCATTTAATTTTTCGTTGAGAACTTTATTTTTTTGTGTATTTTTATAAGGCTTTTTGCGGTTTTTAGGCCAAGAAATAGCAAAAAAAGAGCGTAGAAACCCTACCAGAATTATTGGCCAAAAATAGTAACCTAGGACAAAAAGTGGTTCCCCCCGATAATGCAAAAGTACCGTGTGAGGAGCACGTTTTAGAAACCACGTGCTCGAGACGCAAAAATCGAGCGGATTCGGCGATTTCGCGGGGATCAAGCCGACGATGGCGCTATGTTTGGCGGTGGTGTTCTTGCTCGTCTACTTTGCATTGTGGAAGGGGCCAAAGAGTTCTGGAAAGGTGAGGGCAATGAGCAGAGGATATTGGGGAATCATATCTCCATAGTAGCCAGTCGGAATCCAAAAGCCAATCCCGACAGCCGTCCCGGTTAAAACAGCCTAAAACCTAAATCCCAACTACGTTTACACGCGTATTTTGGAATGTAGCGTAGCTGTCCAGACCTCGTATATAGAAGGGGTCGATTCTCAGCTTTCTAATGCCTTTAAACGATTTATAGAACGACAAAGTGCTGAATTCTAAAGTTTAGATGGTGTGGGTGACGGCGACGGCACCATACGTCGTGTTGGCCGCCCTATTGATCCGTGGAGTCACACTCCCCGGCGCCAGCATCGGTCTGTCACTATCCCTTTAAAAATAATACAATTTATCTCAGGTATTCGCTATTACTTGACGCCAGATTTCTCCAAACTGCTCGATCCGGCTGTGTGGAGCGCTGCGGCTACGCAGGTCGGAACTTTGAGGGTCAAAAATGCAGGGGGCAGGCTAGCAGAGATTCTTTGAGGAATCGGAGGGCAGGCTAGCAGAGATTCTTTGAGGAATCGGAGGGCAGGCTAGCAGAGATTCTTTGAGGAATCGGAGGGCAGGCTAGCAGAGATTCTTTCAGGAATCGGAGGGCAGGCTAGCAGAGATTCTTTGAGGAATCGGAGGGCAGGCTAGCAGAGATTCTTTGAGGAATCGGAGGGCAGGCTAGCAGAGATTCTTTGAGGAATCGATGTAGATGATAAAATTCCAAGAGCCTTTTGCAGAATATTCAAAACCAACAATTCCAGATCTTCTTCTCACTTGGCCCCGGTTTCGGCGTGTTGCTGGCGCTGAGCAGCTACAATGAATTTGACAACAACTGCTACAGGTTTGTAGCGTTGAGCCCCAAAACTATCTTATTTTTCAAGGGATGCTCTCGTGACGGCGTCGATCAACTTCGCCACGTCCTTCTTCTCCGGCTTTGTCATCTTCAGCACGCTGGGCTATATGAGTGTTCTGACGAACAAGCCGATTAGTGAGGTGAGGAGGGTACTGGTTCTTTAGCGGGGGGGTAGTAGAGGTTAGGAAGCGAGCGCCCCCCCCCGCTAATAAACAAGCACGTGAGCAGGCAAATTGCCTTTACTGGCAAATTTTTTGGGTTTTTTAAGGTCGAATTTTGCTAATATAAATCGCGAAATCTTTTTTTTTTTGCTTTTCCTAAGCCTGTGACTTAAAATTTTCATTTAAAAATAACAAAGATTTAGATTTTCGCCCAAAATTCTAACCAAATATTTCTTTCAAGTATTTTGAAGGTTTTTGCCCTTTAAATCTGGTTCAATTTTGCTAAAAACACCATTAAAATATTGAATATAACGTTACTAGGCCCTTCTGGCCTTATAGAAGCCCCCCGCGATACAAGAAAAGCTCCAAATATTCCCAAAGAATCCCTGCCAGATGCCCTCCATTCCCCTTTTTTAGGTAGTCGGCGACCAAGAAATGTCGCTAATCTTCATCGTCTACCCCCAAGCGATAGCCACGATGAGATTCTCGCCCCTGTGGGGATTCGTATTTTTCGTGATGCTGATCACGTTGGGAATTGATAGTACTGTAAGCGGAGTGTTTCTTAAACCCCCTGAAAACTGTCGTTTTTAGTTCAGCGGTATCGAGGCGTTGATCACGGGCTTTTGCGACGAGTACCCACGGCTTCTCCAGCGAAAACGGGAGATATTCGTGGCGGTGGTGTGCTCGATGTATTATTTCGGCAGTTTGCCGGCCATTTCTTACGTAAGTGAGCCGAAATAGCGTTTATACTTTTTGATCAAAAATGGCTGAAAACGCCCAAAAAATGCCTAAATTTTCGAATTTTCAATTTTTTTAATTTTTAACAAATACCACCAGCGATCTAAAACTACTAAAAACACGATGAAAATGCGCTATTTATGATTAACAACTATAGACGGCAAAACAATAACCAGTTCCCCTGTGCAAACCCCCCCTCCCCCCCGCTAACAGTCCAGTACCAAAAAAAATCGACACTTTAACCTTTTTAAACCAATTTTTGTAACGGTTTTGCGCTTGGAATACGGAAAAACAATTTAGAAGCCTTTGATTTAGACGCATTTGAAAAATCTATAAGTTTTTTATGTAGTTTTCTATCTGGAATCCAGTTAAACGACTAAAAGAAGTATTAAAACACTTATTAGGCATTTCAGGACTTTTCCAAAAAATTCGATTCTCCCCCCCGATAATGCACATAAACCGAAAAACCAATGCTTTTAGTTCCCTTTTTAGGGCGGCCAGTACGTGATAGCATTCCTGGATGAGTATGGCGTCTCGCTGTCGCTCCTCTTCATCGTCACATGTGAAATGGTGGCCGTGTGCTGGTTTTACGGCATTGATCGCTTCTCGAGGGATATTCAGTAAGCCTTAAAAACGATTAAAATATGTTTAAAACGTTAACAATAACCGTAAACGGTTCTAAAGCTGAGAATTTCATTAGAAATAATCAAAAAAGCTCAAACTTCCTCAGATCGATGCTCGGCTTCTACCCGGGCATCTACTGGCGCTTTTGCTGGACGTTCTGCCCGATTTTCATCTCGGTATGAATTTAAAGTGAAAGAAAACATGATGAATTTAGATCATCTTCGGGCTGTCCCTCTACAACGTCAAGTTCTCGCCGATCGCCATGCCGAGTAACCTTACAATCATTAACAAATACCTTTTCGCAGACTACACGTTCCCGCAATGGTCGGTATACGTTGGCTGGGTGTTGCGGATGTTGTCGGTCATGTCGATACCCGCATATATGATGTACATGTTGGTGATGACGCCCGGGACGATGGCTGAGGTACACGAAAAATCGAATACCTAAAAAAACTGAAGGCTAGCCGAAATTCTATAATGTTCTTTCTGGTTCTTTGGGATTCGCGGGGGGGGGGGGGCAATTTTTTCCTGGCGTTGCTGGTTGGCCTAGTAATCAAATATAAAGTGTTTTACATCGTTTTTCGTACAGTTTAACCATATTTTAAGTAAAAAACCTTCAAAAACGTTAGAAAGTTGTTTGAAAAGTCGAAATTTCGCCATTTTGGCTCGAAAAAATCAATTCTTCGACCTAAAATTTGAATTTTTATTCAAGTTTGTAAAGGCCTTTATGCTTAGGAATAGTTAACGACAATGTATCAACGCGCGATCCGCGAAACGGTCAGATTAGAGAAGTTTTGAAGTTAATAATTCCAAAAAGGCCGAAAATGACCCCCTTCTTGTGTTTTTGGCGCTTTAAAACTCGTTGATTAGTGAGGTCGTTGCGCAGATTTTGGAAACTACGTTTTAATCAGGAGAAAAATGTGGAAAATAGGCTTTGTCCTGTTACAAAACTCCCTGGGGCTCAAAAACGTCATTTTTTAAGACCCAGTGCTTCGACACAAACTGCAATATTCACCTGCAAAATACTCGTCGTTTTACGGGCTTTCGAACGGTATAAAAATCATCACGATCCGGCATTCCTGAGGCGAGATAGACGCCTTTAATTGCGTCATCCTTCCGGAGTCCTAAAAAACAAACAGAAACCCTCAAAATAAAAACTTTGATTCAGCGATGGTCGGCGATGATCAACCCAGTGCAACGTGCCGTCTCCCTAGCTTCATCGTATGCCCCATCACAAGGCACGACAGGAGAACAAGCTGGAGCTGGTGCTCATGTCTTCGATTCCAGTCTCCTAAATGATATTGATAATCTTACCCAAGTCTAAATATTCCGACGATTATTTCTACCCCAAAAAGTCCCGTCACGTCCCGAATTCCCTTACAACTTGAACCAAAAGGGCACTGGACTGTTAGCGGGGGTGCCTTTTTTCGAAAGCATCGCTTACGACTTTAGAAAACATTTTCGTAGTATTTGATGAAATTTTATTAGCTAGAAGAAGCTCAAAAATGTGGCTTTTTCGTCAAAAATGTATGAAAAATGAACAAAGATGCAAAAATTTTCCAATTTTTAAAAGTTTTTGAAGTGTCTTTTATAGCCCCCCCCCCCGCTAACAGCCCAGTACCACCAATACCACCACCACAAATACCCTGATCTCATTCCGGCAAGCAAATGAACGCAAAATGTATACGTTTTTTGCAAGAAAACGGGAAGCCCTGATTTTAGACTGGCCTGATTGCTTTCTAGTCATTGATGGATTGATGTGTAATATGGTTTATATATTGTCGAATTTTATGATTTTTTTAGAGATAGCCGATAAATGTTTAAAAATACGAGGGGAATAACAAAAAAAATCCGCAAAAAATTAGCGGAGGGACCGGACTCAATTTTTTTCGGCTATTAGCCTAGATATCCATGGTAAGGTAATGCAAACATTTTTATAGGGTTAAAGCGTAACTATATTTCAAGTCTAAAAACTTGAAAAAAATTAGAAAATCGTCAATTTTTGGTCGAAACATCAACATTTTTTTTGTAGTTTTCAATCAAATTTTTGGCGTTTAGTAGCAATAAAAACTGTGTAAAACCATGTTCCGCTATGTATATTGCAAAATTAGGATGCCATGGAACAAAATTTTGTATGTTTTCTGCGGTAAGAATCGTATAGTATCGTACAGTATACCAAAAGCTATACCAAAATGTTCTCCGTGCTCTGGGGCCTATTTTGGTCCACTTTATAGCCCTGTAGCAGCACAACGGGGAGCAGGGATACGAAAGTTTAGCTTTGCCTCCCCGCCCCAGCCAAAGAACCGCAACTTTCCATCAAAAAGATTTGAATCCCAGTATCCCGGAGATCCATGCGAAAATCGAGGATAAAAGGAAATCGACTGGCGTTAAATTACTCCAATGTCCGTACAGCCATCTTCGACGGCGACCGGCACGGCGCCCATCGAAGAACTTGAATACTACCATGGGTTGTTGCCACGGTTAGTGTCTAACTTTTTGTACAAATATTTCCCCGTTTCAAGCGAGGATCTGCCGGCGTTGTTGAACAAAGAGGGCGACTACCTCCTCAGATGTACCCAAGTGAAGACTGGCGAGGACCGGCGCACCATTTTGTCGATGGCATTTGGCAGTGATGGCAAGATCAAGGTATCCCTGGCTTCTTTGGTTCTGGTCTGTTAGCGGGGGAGGGCGAACCTTCGCCTATACCCTGTTGGATCCCAATGAAAAGAATTGACACCATTTACGCAGCCACCATGGAAAATTCGAAAATATGAAAATTTCGGGCTCAACCGCAGATTCCCCCTTCACCTACTGTATCTCGGCTTACTGGTTTTGTACAGGTGTGTAAAGCATACCAAAATGATTGCCTTGGTCTGGTGAGTATTTTGTTATACTTTACACACCTGTAGACCAATAGCGAGCCGAGATAGATGTATGGGGGTCGGCTGCGGTGGGGGGGTAAAAAGTAAACCGTAGCCTAAAATCCCCCCGCTAACAGCCCACGACCGAAAACTACATTCCCCCTTTTCCAGCACGGCCACTACATCATCACACAAGAAAAAGACCCGCCGAACCTGTTCACCATCGACAAAACAATCTGCAAGCCGACGATTGACGAGCTCGTCCAAGAATATAAAGCCCTGGGAATCCCGTTGAAGAAGGAGGTGCCGAATACAACCCTCCTCCATCCCGTCAATCGACCCAAATGGGAACTGCGCGCAGATGCTGTCACCACGGGCAAGAAATTGGGCGATGGTGAGGGCAATTATGAATTTACTTAATTTTGGTTGTGTCTAGGTGAATTCGGTGATGTTCTCCAGGGAAAACTGAAGCAGGAGGCGCTCCCGGAAATTGACGTTGCCGTCAAGGTGGCCCGAAATGACAGCATCTCCAAGGAAAAGGCAAGCATCATCAACTTCTACGTGTTATTTTTGGCAGCTTCACTGAGTTTTGGTCTAGGGCCTCCATAGGACCCGAGTAAGGAAATATAAACTATTTCTATAGCTTTTTGCCTCGTTTTTCCGTATAGCTGGTTGATAAAACGTTATTAAAAATTTCGAAAACTGAGTTTTGGTCATGTGAAAAACTCCAAAATAGAAAAATGTGGTGGTTTTTAGAGATCAAAATCTACTAAAACGATATAAACTTATTTAAACTGTAATTTAACCTTACGTTTAAGCTTTAGATCAAAGAAGTAATGAAGGAGGCGCGACTGATGCGCGACATTGACCATCCGAACGTCGTCCGAATCTTTGGCGTCGTCGTCGAGAAGGATCCCCTGATGATCGTGATGGAGCTGGTGGATGGGGGAGGGTTGGACAAACATCTTCGCACCCAGTCTGTACGCATCCCGCCTGACCGTCGGTTGATGTACATCCAGGTGCGTTTCAAAATAACTTTTACTTATTACTCAACGAGGATGCGGCTTGGGGTATCGAGTACCTACATCACAAGAAGATCATCCACCGCGATCTGGCCGCCAGGAATTGCCTCCTCGTCAAGCTGCCGAATGGAGATCAAAGCGTAATGCCCCAGTTACTATGAAACATTAAAACTATCCGATTTCAGGTGAAAATCTCGGATTTTGGGCTGTCGCGCTTGGGCGACGCGTACGCCATCAAGACGTCGCGCAAGGTGCCGATCAGATGGCTGGCACCGGAAACCGTCGTCAACTTCACCTACACCCAAAAAACGGACGTCTGGGCCTACGGAATCCTAGGTAAAGACAACCCTAATCTACAGGAACAAACAAGTTCGCAGTCTGGGAGGTGTACACCAATGGGGACGAGCCGTATGCTGGCGAGACGAACCAGAAGGTCAAGGAAAAGGTGCTGGCTGGGGAGCTGCTCACCTTCCCGTCGATGGCCAGCATCGAAGTGGTGAATTTGATCAAAGGGCACTGCTGGGACAAAGACGTCGGGCGACGGTACACCATGGCTGATGTGGGTGGAGAACCAGGGTAACAATTTATAAGCGGCCGATTTTAGAAGATACTCGGCTGTCGAAACGGCTCCAAGCCCGGATTATACAGAATTTTTTCGCCGATCCAACAGCTAATACGTCTCGCCTAAAAATATGCTTTAATCCTGGAAATTCGGCTTTTAAAAATTTGGCTTGGTCCCGTTTTGACAAACCATGGAGTCGAAAAAACTTTCCGCTTTTCAAATCTAAGCTGAAAATTTTTTTTAAAACGATTCTAGGTGGCTCGCAAATTGGAAGCGATGAACAATCGTCAACCGCCTGCCGTCCAAGCGACGATCAGAAAGGCTGGATCATCAAACCAGGGCGTCGACGAAGCCCTTGCCGTCCCGCTTCCGGCCATGATGGCAGTGATCCCTGTCCCACCAGCTGTACCGGCTGCAACCCCCATCGCAGCGCCACCTCGCAAAACGGCCCCCACCAAGGTAACGCCAGCCAAACGCGCAAAGTAACCGACATTTCAAGAAGCGCCACGGCAAGACGACCAAAAGCAACGAGATGCGCACGGCGGACTCGGGCAAACGGAAGCGCAAACATTAAGAGGACCGGCCAGTTGCGTCGCCGACATCCTTACAAGAGCATCTTAAAAATCATTCGAAATAAAATCGTTAAACCATTGCTGTTCCCGTGTGTGATACTTGGATGGCGCCGATACTCTGGGCTCATGGAATAAAGCGCTTTGCTAGTTACGAATACACCACGATCGTGAATATTCGCATACTTTAGCTGGGTTGATGAAGAAACCAGCCTTTTGAAGGATTTCGCAAATTTTCGCTTTTATTTTTAATTTTGAGTACGTAGCAATCCCATTCACGATGACACCGTAACGCGGGCAACTAGCCGTGTTGCTAAAGCGCGCACCAGGGTGGAGAGCACGCGAGCCACGGATTTTCTCTTTTTCGGTGTAGCGTTTTTGTGATTTTCTTCACACATCTCTTCTTACGTACTTCTAGACCTTGCAAATTTGCAAAGCAAAGCTTCTATCAAAACTTTCGGGGCTTCGCTACGTTCCTTTTGCACATGGTCCCGCCGCGCTCGCCCTGCCCGCTGGGTCCCTCTGTCTTTCCCTCCCCGTCTTCCACCAACCCAGTTACGAGCCCCAGTCATCATCGAGCGTTCTCCCCTGCGTTACCTGCAATTTTTTTGAATTCGGATGCTTTTCCTTGTGAAAATTATGTTCTTTCGGTCATTCACAGCCACTGGATTCGATTCACCACTAATATCCTATTTCCAGGTGTTTGCTTCTGGCCTCAAAGCATTATGGGAACGCCCTACATTGGGAGCAAGATCAATTTGATCTCGAAGTTTGACATCCGATATGAAGGAATTCTTTACACGGTCGACACTGCGGACTCTACCATTGCTCTATCAAAAGGTTGCTTTGTTTTTTTCAGGCGTTTACCTCCTTTTTTAGTCCGATCATTTGGAACCGAAGACCGTCAAACTGAGAATCCTGTAGCTGCTCGTGACAACGTCTACGAGTGCATTATCTTCAAGGCATCGGATATCAAGGACTTGATTGTTTGTGAAACTCCCGTACGTTTTCATTGTTCGAATTCCATTTTTGTTTAGGCACCCCCAACTGCCCATGGACTTGACTTTGATCCCGCTATCGTTTCCGTGAAATCGACGGTGCCACCCCTACACGGCGAAGGCGATCCAGCCGCCGGTTCATCTCGTTCGTCTCCTCGTGCTTCGCCTGCTCAAGGTCAACAGCGTACCCCTACTCGTTCTTTCAATCGTGGGGCACACCGAGGTTATGCGATGCGTAAGCTTATTCTTCTATGCGCCATTATTCTCTTTCTAGGCCAACCCAATGCTGGCATGTACCACCCGCGTGGCCACTACAACAACCGCGGGGGTTATCAGCATCAACGCACCGGTAACCCGCCTGCCCCCACGGAGAAGGTCAAATTTGACGGGGACTACGACTTTGAGAAGGCCAACACCGAGTTCACCTCTTCAATTGACGATAAGCTGCAGGCCTTGACAATTGGTAACCGTTTCGCCATTATCTTAAAGGTTTATTTTTAGAAGGCAAGGAAAAAGATGAAGATGCGGCCGTCGTTGAGCTTCCGGATGAACAGCCGGCGTTCTACGATAAGAAGTCTTCCTTCTTCGACAGCATCTCTTGCGAGGCGCTTGAGAAGCAAGAAGGCCGAAGGGTGAGAGTTGCTATTATTTTCTCATTCCGTTTTTAGACTCGCCCGGACTGGAAGAAGGAACGCGAGACGAACCAAGAGACTTTCGGGCAAACTGCTGTTCGCTCGTTCAACTACCGCCGCGGTTATGGACGCGGTATGCGTGGCTCACGATATCCCGCGCACCGCATCCGCTTTGGGTAATTTCTTCCCTTCAGCTTGATTCCTTTGTTTCAGTCAGTAACCCGCCGGTCTCCCCCTTCTCGTACGCCCATGGTCTTCAGACCACTGTACAAGCCCTCAAGTTTTATCCTTCGTATTTTTTAATTTGTTCTGAATAAATAATTGTAACTGCGATATAGGAGCAACGGCGAGCAAGTGAGGATTACATCTACGTCTCAAAGGAAACAAGCAATGAGCAGTTTATTAGGTGAAAGACATTGTCCCGTATGGTTTGAAAAAGTTTCATGTTTCTAAGCATGTGGTCGTTGACAAGTGCCAAAGCCGGTCGCTGGTTCCCATCCATCAGATGAACACGTCAGCGTCGGTTGGCCCGCCACCAAGTATCTGGAAAGCAATGTCTATATCCAAGGCTTTGATTACCCCAAGTCGCAGTATAGCAATGCTGTTGTGCCTGTCTCATAATCGGAAGCGCGGCTCGCCTGTATGTAGGTGACCTGAAGATGCATGTAAGGTGTCTGGGTGACTTTCGAACTTTAGAATGTGGAGGCGCTGGGATCGGGGCGCATTTGCCAACTAATTTAACCGCCAAGTCTGGGTCACAGCGGCCGAGAACCGGGCGGAATGAGCCGGATGAGCAGCGTGCAAAGGTCGGTCCCCTGAAAGGTGTATTTTTGGTTATTTGGAGTATTGCTTCAAAGGCTGGGCATTATTCATTTCCGTTTTGAGCAGAGCCTACCTGACCAAATGGCCAATATTGCAGCGCAGGGCTGCAATCGTTCCCACCGGGAAATCGCCATGTGTTGATGGATACGAGAACGTTATCTGAAGCCTTGGATTTCTGAATTGGGGCGATGCTTACCTCTCCAAAAGCCGGAGAATATGGTGGGGTGCAGCGGTGCTCATCTTTTTCATAGTGTTTCGGGGCTAGTGGTTCTTGATCGTGCGCTATCGGTAGACCATAACTTCTCGCGACACTTCTAACGGGTGGTACGCAGACGCCGAGGGCTGGGGCCCATTCGCCCGAATCACAATGCGATGAGGGCTCACCTGAAAAACGTTAGGATCTCGCTTCATCAAGAGCAAACCTTCTAAGACATTCCCAGCATGACAGCTGATCGTTGCCGACGAGCCGTCGCTGTACGGGCCGAACCCGAATTCGCTGTAGATGATCTAATCAGGTAATTTTGCTGTTAGTATCTCTGATTTAGGCCAACCGATGAATAGGCTTTCAATGGGATGGCCGTGCATTTTGCGCCCGGCATATTGACAGATCTCGTTGGCGGGCTTCGCTGGCCTGGCGGATCGGCTTGAATGGGTTCGCAACCATCAAGCGTTGGTGATGACCATTTGCCGAGGATACAGGTGGAGACCGTTGTGCCTAGATTTCGATAGAAACGTAGAATATCTTTACCTTTAGCGGCAAATTGCTCATCGCATTTCACCGTCGCCCGGGTGCCCGACTCGTAGGGGTTGTTCGACTGTAAGTAGATGGTTAGTCTAGAGTTTAGCAATAAATAGATACCGTCGAATAACTAATTTGACCATTTTTGACGGAGGCGAGTGGAGAGCATTTTTGCTCGTTTGATGAATCTGAAATTGCTTGGGTATGACTACGACCCGCTTTTTTTAGATAACATGGCGACTTAGCTTTTAAGACCAACCATTTCTTTTCAGGCAAACGCCCATCCTTTCCGGGACCCATTTCCCATTTTGACAGGTGGCCAGTCGATCACCCGCTGCTGTGTATTCCGCATCGCACTCAAGTTCGGCAAGGGTGCCCTGAACAGGAAATTACGGTATTTTTTTAGTATTTACGGAAGGCTTAGTACCGCAAATTCAGTCATCAAGCCCTAAACAACCAGATTTTTCGCGTGCAAAGCCTTAAAAATGAATTTCCGTGATGATATAGGGACGTTTTACTACGCTTGGATTATATTCGAAGGTTACAAATGCAGGCGTAAAGGCTTAAAAATTATTTTAGACGTGATTTCTCTAATTATACCCACATTCTCATAGGCGCCGCTCTTTTGCTGGATGTATTTGATCTTTGCGTTCGGCGGGCTGGCCATTGCCAGACAATTGCCGGGCGGCTCGGCTCGCCCCACGATCAGCGACACTAAACAAGCGTTACTTTTTAAGGATTTTTTTACACATGTTGGTTTTAAGATTTTTTAGTTCATTTCTTTTTTAGAATACGAGGGCGGCGGCCGGAAAACCGTCGCCGGCCGAAATACGTACACAAAATGAACAATTTATTCCTCCAAAAAACATTCACAACAAAGACTAGCGGAATTTGGAAAGAAACGGAACAAATAGAGAATCCATAGACAATTAGGCACAATATCCCATTACTGGGGTAAAGGCGCCAGCCTGGCAGGTAGTCGTTGATTGGCCGTTGACAGTCGTTCCGCTGCTACAAGTCAGCGTCGCTACCGTTCCCTAAAGCGTTACGGGACCATTTTCAGGTCTTCTGGTGGCTACAGTAGCCTTTAAATTAAAAGTTAAAGCTATGGTTCAAAAAGCAAAAAGTTTGGTCCGGCCGGGAATCGAACCCTCGATCCCTAGCTGGAGAGACAACAATGCTAGCCACTACAACATCCTGTCCTTGAGCGCGTAAAAATCAAGTTTTATTTTCTTGATCTTTATTAAATCTATATCTTTATTACCTGAGGATACGGTGGCCCGGTCAGACTATAGCCGACCTGGCCGTTCAGCGGAATCGTCGGCCCAAACAGACATTCCCCGCCGCTCGCCACTAAAAATTAAGGGCCACCGATGCTGCAGTATAACAAGAATGAAACCCGAAAAAGTAGTATAATAAAAAATAAAAATAAAAACACACATTAGTAAGAAACACACAGAAAACTGGTTAAATATATAGTGGTGGTGTGGAAAAAAAAACCCGAAAAATGGTAGGAAAATTTGTTAGATTTGTTTTTGACATGTATTTTGTGTAGTCTATTTTATTTCAGTGTCGTTTTTAGGTTGTAAAAGTTATTATCTCGTACCTGTGGATGTTCCAGTTCCAGTCTGACATGTCCCCAGCGTCGTCCACTGCCCGTTCGAGCAGGTCGAGATGGCCGAGCCGCTCATCGTCTGCCCGGAGGGACAAGTCACGGTTACGGTAGCGCCTGGCAAGAATTAGAATTTTGATTTTTTTGCTTCTTGTGAATTATCGGGGGGGGGGGGGGTTAATCTAGCAATAGTACGTAAGTTAATATTTTTTGTAATTTAAATGAAACGAAATGGTGGTTTTAACGATATTTCCACTGGAAAACTATCTAAAAACCTTGAAAAATTTAAAATTTGGTCGGAAAATGGCCTTTTTGGTGGGGAAATCCATAATGGATTTTTTTTTGTTAAAAATTTGGAATTTTCCGTTTAGGAAAAGTAAAAACAGTTTTTAAACACATGCTCTGTTACAGTAAAAAAAAATTGATGAAAAATATTCTCAAAATTTGGATTTACTGGCGAAAATATATAAAAAACCGAAAAATCCAAGTTTTTGTAGTTTTAAGTATTTTTGGCATAATCGGAAACTGGTAGTTGAACCGCCAAACCGTTAGCAAATGGTCCCGTCGCGGAGCCCGTTGAATAGGTCGCAGTTGCGCCCAACGGTATCAACGGCGCGAATGTGCACGTGGTCCCTAAATTGTGGCTATTATTGCTGACTCTGGGTTACTGTAGCACAGCTACAGTACCCCCCTAAACAATTAACCGTCCCCACCAGAAGTCCCAGTTGTTGAGCAGAAGCCAATTGTCGGAGTCCAGACCCCGTTCGAGCAGGTGCTGATCGCGTTGCCTAAAAAAAAGTACGGAGCTGTACTCTGTACGGTTGGGTTGTACCTTGTACAGTACCCGTCGTGCAGGTAAGTGTTCCAGTGGTGCCCGTGTTGAACGGTCCAAACGGCCCGGAAGCCGAGTAGTTGATCGTGCCTGTCGGGGGTACGGTAGTTTGGTCGGGATTTTACCGCAGCAATACTACCAGGAATTTTCGCCAATTCCCTCTGCTAGCCTGCCAATAAATTTTCTAGCTCCTTCGAGAAAAAAGCAAAAATTTGTCGCCGACGGGAGTCGAACCCGGACCGTCTGCTTGTGGCCAAGAGCGCTAGCCACTAGGCCAGATGACATCGGATTTAAAACTAAATTAGATTAAAGAGGGTGACATTTGATTTCTCGATATTTCTCGCCCCAATTTCGTTCCCAAATGATCCCTGCTAGATTGCCCATCTTTTTAGGCCCCTCAAAAAGCAAATAATTTTTAATCGAGCAAAAGCAAAAGTTCGGCAACCGGCGTGAGCCGAACCCTGATCCTCCGCCTGGTAATCGAGAGCACTAGCCACTTGACCAAGCTCAAGAAATTAAAAATTTAAAACTTTAACAAATTGGCGATCCAAGAAAATACTAATTAAGATGTTTCTTCTCCCAAATCCTCTCTGCTAGCTTGCCCTGGCCTTAAGCCACCCGAAACTCCGAAACGCACCTCCAGACGTCACCATGGCCAGGCATTGCGTCCCTGAAAACACAAAAATCCATATTTGTAAAATGCTGTAGATTTATAGATTTATTTCTCGATTTCTAATTCTCTGGCTCTGTATGCGATATCTCTAGCTTTAATACCTCTGTAGTATAGCGGTTAATATTAATCCAAAGATTTAGAAAACCCGTAAAATATTAGATTTTTTCAAAGCAAAAAAACTTGGTTAGAAAAAGTTGGTGCAACAAAATTGAAAAAGGGTGAATTTCTTGCCTGCTTGTCTTATCGATCGATTCGAAGCTGAAAAGAGGTCCCCTTTAGAAGGGATACGGTAGATTTTGGGGCACGCTTTAGGGAAACGATACCGGTTGAGGGGGCGAAAAGGGAGCACGAGCCGAGGGGAGGGGACCAGACGCCGGAGAGGCAGGTTGAGGAACTGTTTCCTGAAAGGTGACATGGTTACGCTAGTTTTAAAGGAACAAGGCATGCATATGGTATGCCCATAGATTTTTACGACACGAAACACGTACGCCGTGTTTTCATTGCGTAGTTGGTTCGATCCATTGGATTCCGTTACGTTTCGTGGCGTAAAATCCGTAAATCCATAGAAAAGCTTGCAAATCCCTTTAAACTTTAAACTACCATCAATATGACCGCTGGCGCAGGTGAGGGTTACGGTAGTTCCGTTGGTGAACGGGCCGAACGGCGCGTTTTGTGAGTAGTTGACGGAGCCGAGGAAAGGGGGCAGGACACCGGGGCACTGGAATTAAAGGGATTTGGAAGTTAAAATAGGCCACGTCCCCTACAGTAATATTTACTTCGCTTTCTGGTCACACAAAAATTCCGCTTTTTTCAAACTTACCGCTTGGGTAGTTGGTGCGAGGGTGACGCTTGGTTGACAAGCGCCGAGACTTGGTGTCCAGAGACCATTCTGGAAATGTAGGGTAGATGGCGTAACTGTCTCTCTCTCTCTCTCTCTCTCTCTCTCTCTCTCTCTCCCTCACCTGACATATCGCCTGGCTCGCTCCAACGATACTTGACCCTGCCGGGCAGGTCAGATACACCTGCGACCCCACCGGCTTAGTTCCCTAAAATCACGAGCTTTCCTTGCGGATCCACAGCTTCAAACTCACGTCTAAATTCGGGGTACTGTAGCTGAGGTTTCCATTTAGGATAATTGGATTTGAGCATGAGGTGGAGGACGCGGAGACTGCGGCAGATGAAGGAGATGTCGAGGGGATCAGGGAGGATGAGACGCAGGTGCCTAAACGAATTTGCTTGGGCATGCTGGCGGAGATTCTTTGAGGAATCGGACGGGCAGGCTAGCAGAGATTCTTTGAGGAATCGGAGGGCAGGCTAGCAGAGGTTCTTTGGAAACGAAATCGACTCACCAAGAGCCGGCGGTACCCATAGCCCATTAGTGCATGTTGATGTGAAAGTTCCTTGGCCGGAAGTGCCGTCAGGGCATTTGAGGGTCGCCGTTGAGGTAGAGGGGTGTTGTCCGGAAGCTAAGAAAGCAGATTAGACCGAGAGAGAGAGAGAGAGGGAGAGAGAGAAAACGAAGGAGAGAAACAGACCTACCGCTAGTCGAATAATTGACACTAGCCCCTCCAGCCTCGCCCATAATTTGCATATCTGGGCACGAGCTGTTCGTCCTCAAAGCTACGGTAGTGAAGAGAGCAGCCGTGGAGATGCATTTTCCTAAAAGTACAAAATACCTAAAAATAAAAACATTTTTACCGATTGCCGGCTTCCAGTTCCCCTCCTGGCATAGGGTAGTGACGGTGCCGTTTGGCAAATAGCCAAGGTTACAGCCGAGGGTCGCCATTTGTTGATTTCCAAGTGCTAAAATGGGTTCAAAAATGGCGTTTAGATTAAGTTTTGCGGCGTCTTTGTCTCTCTCTCTCTCACTTCTTCTCTGCACCTCCACCAGTCAAGCCCATATTTTCCAGCTTAAAACCCCCTAAAACTCACTGCTGATGCTCAAAAATCCATTCTCCACCGGAAGCTGCGAGCATGAACTCTGAAAAACATAGATTCCCATGAGCTCTAGAGTTCAATAGTATTTGTTAATCAAGCGGAAAGGGATTAGAGCGATAGGCACGCAAAAGCTGGATTAAAGGGACCGGGAAGGCTACGCTTTCCTAGTCCCTTCAAAACCCATAGCAATCCGCTGGGGCTACCTGCCGCTTCGCTACAACCACCGATTGCTCGGTGGTTGTTGTGGTTGTTGTGGAGGGGGTTACGGTAGTTTCCGGCTAAAATAAGCAGTGATTCTTGTGGACCACCTTTACGTGTCTGCCTCTCTCTCATTCTCTATCACTCTCTCTCTATCTCTTTATCTCTCGCTCATTCTCTACCTCTCTTTCCCCCTCTCTTGCTATCTCTCTCTCTCTCTCTCTCTCTCTCTCTGTTTTTTTCACGCACTTTCTTCTCTCGTTTGCCATGATTTCACGTTTTTCGTTACAAATTTAAACAACTGATTCTCAGGCAAGCTAGCAGAGGCCAGTTCAGACACTTAAAAAATCCGTTTTAAAGATTACCTAGCAGGGACGCTTTGAGGAAATTCACCCACCCTCTCGCAGCTCCCCAACATCTGATCCCAACTCCTCATCCGACAGTTTGCCCTCTGCTGCCCTCTTACGATAAACCCAGGGTCACACTTTAGCGTGGCTGCCGCACCTAGATCTGCGGTGACCGGGCCGCCTTTTAGACACCAAACCTTCGGTCAATGGAGTAGCAGATTGATTTGTGGGAGTGTAGAGAACCTAAAATTATTGGTGTCATCATCCCTTTAAAAGCTACGTACCCTGCCGTTGAGTGGAGTGAGGATGGGCTGGCAGTGGATGTCGAGGGCTGACGCACAGACACCGATTTCCGGCAGCCATTCGCCGGAGGTGCAGATGGAAGCGGACTGAAACGGGAAAGCTAGCAGGGATTCTTTGAGGGATCGGATGGCAGGCTAGCCGAGAATCTTTCGGAAATTTGGCCTCAAGGCGCCTTTAAAATGACTCACCTCCCCAACAGTCACATATCCGAGATCACAAAATAGGGTGACACGTGTCCCATTTGGTCGTGGCCCGGGTTGCGAATAGACGAGACTTCCATGCGAGACCCCATCCACCCGACTACAGTAACTCGGATCACCGCCCAGCTCGTCCTCGTCACCAGGACCCGTGATTAGCTGCGGTGTTGTACGAGCTAAAATGGGGCTTTTGCATCATCGGGGGGGGGGGGGGTCGTAGAAATCGATTTCCTATTTGTAGGCAAGCTAGCAAAGATTTTTGTGGAATTTGGCGACTTTTCAAGACGATAAAACACACCTTTCTGATCGACACACCCGCCCAGCGTTGCCGGAAACCATCCCTTCTTCGTACACAACACCTAAAGGGGGCTTACGGTAGCTGGGGCGCCTTTTAAGTGTACCTGCGTCTGTCCAGTGGCCGAGTAACCAGAATCACATGTGGTATGGGCTGTCGTACCAAGGGGGAATGCCCCGGAACCACGCTCAGAATATTGGACCTGAATTTAGAGGAATACGATAATCTTTGATCGCACCATCAATTTTTTGAAGTCACGACTCTAAAAGCTTGGAAAACTTCGAAATAGACCCACCCTGCCATTCGCGATATCGAGCAGCTTCATGCAGTTCTGTTCAGTGGCTGCAGGGTGGACAACACTACCTCCATCGGCCCATCTAGAAAGACGGTACGGTAGGACAAAATTCCGAAACATCCCACACTAGCTTTCTCGATGACCCCTCCTGAATGATCTCTGCTAGCTAGCCAAATTCTCAAAAAGCAGAGATTTCTCGTCGGCGATTTCTTTCTATCACTCACTCGCTCTCTCTCTCGCTCTCTCTCTCTCTCTCTCTCTCTCCTCTCTCCCTGTATTCCTCTTTTGCTCTCTAACACTCTGCCCTCCCCTACCCATAGCAAGCAAATCCGGCATCCTTCGTCATGCCTTCAAATTTGGCGGTCGGATCCATAGAGTAGGCGAATTCTAAGCTACGGTAGTCAGATCACCATTTAGCATTCATACCCTCCTCAGCCCCATTCCCCCTTTGATATTTGAAAATTGGGACATCAGCTCCACATGCTCCAAGTGTCCGTCCGCAGTATAGATCGTCGTGTAAATCTAGAAAAAGAGGGAAATGTGTTACGGTAGTTGGGGCAACATTTATGGAACTATCAAATTAAGCGTACGATCTATACCTTGATACCCCAACGGCGCGCCGAGTACATTTTCCTGATGGTTGATTTGGCCTGAAAAAAATAGAAAATAAATATAATAAAAAATAGGCTAATTCTTAAATTAAATTCGGTTTATAAACCTCGATAACACTAGCTTCTTTCTAGATTTTTGTATTTTAGGATCTTTGTTAAAACCAACCGTTTTCTCGTTGATTTGTAGCTATTTTTATGGAGCAACCGCCGGCACAACTCCCGGGACTGCGCGCCAACAACACCACAAAATTGTCCCGATCTTTTGAGCTGAAAAAGTTTTTCTGGGTGGCAGGCTAGCAGAGATTCCTTGAGGAATTGACTTGCAGGGGCTCAAGCTAATTCTCACTCTTGCTGTCTCTATTTTTGTCTCTCTCTCTCTCTCTCTCTCTCTCTCACCTCCTTGTATACCCCCGATCCGTCAGATCCTCATCCGACACTCGATAGCTATCCGTCCCATTATTCCGCTTCACCCACACCGAAACCGCCGCTAAATCAGGGTACGGTAGTCGGGACAACAATTACAAAATCATACCCAAATCACTGGGAGCATCAGAGGAAGGGCAGAGTTGGGCGCCTATTAAAGTGGCAAAATTCGAAATAAGAAAAATTCGTAGAATTCTGATGATCATCTTCTCTGCATTTGACGGGGTCGAATCGCTAAAAAATAAGCCTGTTTAATTCAGATGAACAAAATTGTCAAAATGTCCTGAAAACATTTAAAACCAGAATCGGGACGACAATCCACCAAAGCCTCTGCTAGGTTGCCCTCCGATTCCTCAAAGAATCTCTGCTAGCCTGCCCTCCGATTCCTCAAAGAATCTCTGCTAGCCTGCCCTCCGATTCCTCAAAGAATCTCTGCTAGCCTGCCCTCCGATTCCACAAAGAATCTCTGCTAGCCTGCCCTCCGATTCCTCAAAGAATCTCTGCTAGCCTGCCCTCCGATTCCTCAAAGAATCTCTGCTAGCCTGCCCTCCGATTCCACAAAGAATCTCTGCTAGCCTGCCCTCCGATTCCTCAAAGAATCTCTGCTAGCCTGCCCTGGATTCCTCAAAGAATCTCGGAAATTCCACCTGGATATCCATCTCGAAATCATGCCCGAAAAAAAAGCATAGTATAAAATCGGAACGCGGGGCACGCATACCTCAAAACAGCCGATTATATGCCGGGTGTCTCTCTCTCTCCTGGCTTGTTGCCAAGCCCTACGTTTCCGGTTTGTTGTGTGGAGAGGTGGAGAGGCCAAAATGGCCACCAACCCGAGGCTATAGCTATGGAAATTCAAAGGGCCGGTGGAAGAAACTTTTTGACCCGTTGTTCAAGATGAAAGGACGAAAAGAGTACGATGGGGATACTAACGCCGGATACGGGCAGACTAGCAGAGATCATTTGGGAGACCAAAAAGCCTTCGAACCCGTCGATTACAGCACTTCTAAGCGGGGGTTGCTAGCAAAGATTCTTGAGGAATCAGAGGGCAGGCTAGCAGAGATCCTTTGAGGGAAATCTTATATGAAATGGAGTCCCGAAGTGAAATCGAGCCCTCAAAATGGGCGATAAATCCGACCAGTCGGGGCACACTGGCAGAAACACTTTGAAAACAGGCGAAAGCCGCCGAAAAATGGGCTGATTGGGTCCCGAACCGGTCCTTGCCGATCGAGGGAATACGGTAATTGGGCAAAATTCCCGGCGATAAGCCCTGAGAGAGTGAGAGAGAAAGAAAGAACGAGGAGAGAGAGAGAGAGAGAGAGAGAGAGTGAGTGAGAGTGAGATTTCGCTGATCGCACTAATCCTCCACCACCCCAAGATTAAAACCCGCTATGGTCTGACTATCCCGTCGGGTACAGTCATAAATCGTAAAATCGAGGCCACGCACCAATTTTAGAGGGATTACGGTGGTTGAGGCACGTTATTGGGATCTGTGAAAGCAGGTACACACTTTAAAGGGACGCATAAGGCCAAGTCTTTAATTGGGAAGGTTTTAGTTTCCGACAAAAAATCGTCTGACATCGTAACTGAAAGCCTAAAAATCACACAAAAATGCAAATCCGAAAGCGGAGCACTGACAAATCTAGTATCGCGCCCCGAAGAGTGACCTAGAATGGAATGGAGAGAGAGCGCGAGTGGATTGAGCTCGACAAATAGTCCACGGGCAAAAAACCAGATACAGCCCGGCTACCCCTGCGGCAGCGAATAGAATAGAGATAGACAATGCACAGTTCGGCACAGCCTGAAATTGGCCACAATCAGGGGAATCGGACGGTGGTCTGGGCAGCTCTTAGAATGCAGCAGCCACCTAGGTTGGCTTTGTTTCGATTTACATTTCATTTTCGACCCCGAATTTGCCAGTTGGAATATTACCGCATGCCAGACAACGAAACCACGGAAATTAGTTGATTACAGGAACGCAAAGTTCTAGCTCGTTGACAGTTTCAAAAATCGCAAAGTCCAAGTAAAAGTGACAACCCAAGGGGGTTAGTCTCCCCCGCCGAAACCAACTGTTTACGGCGTACGTATTGAACCGGAAAAAAGTAGGGGATACGGGGAAAGTCGTCAGGATTTGAACCGTCGGATGTGAAGAAATCTCCGGTTGACAGGGGAATGTTTTCAGGTCGCAACAAAGCCGGGCGGATCGCGACTGGGTTGACGCTAAGCCCTACTCGACCCCCCCGAGGGATCGAACTCCGTTGAATAATTGGTGGAGCACGAGTAGGGGCGCACCATATAGCGGTCGTAAAATAGAACCTGGAATGCGCAGGCTAGCAGCGGTCGTTTGAGGAATGCAAAGATCCATAGGCAAAGGCGAACAAAATAAATCCGGCTCCAAATGTGCCCGTTTGATGCTTCCTTTTCCCTAAAGCTCGAAAATAGGCTAATTCTTATATTTTTTTTGTCCCTTGCAGCGTAAAAATAGTATAGTTCCGATAATTCCTGTTTCTTCGCTCCACAGCTCAAACAAGATCTGATACTTCCTGTTTCTCTCAAAAAGGAAACGCGCTTTCATTGGTGCATTTGAAGTAGGTGGGCGGGGTAATAATCACAATTAACTTCCATCTTTTTATTCATTTTATGCACAAAGTAGGTGGGTCTCCATTCTGTTTTCTTTTGTTCGTGTCGGTTCTTCGTCTCTTCAAATATGCAGCCAAGCACGTCGTTCAGCAATTCGACTGCTTTGGCAGGCATTCGCTCGTCGCGCATCTAAATCGAACAAATTAGAAAACGCAGATTCATTTTTTCTCAATATCCTCATTCTCGAAAAACGCACAAACCTCTGCGATCTTCGGGAACGGTCCCGCTGGCGGGTAGTTCGTCTCGGCGAAATTGTAGGTCCTCACAGAGCAGTGCATTGCTGCGGCATCTTCCCGCGTCGGCACTCCGAGGCAGTTGACCATTATCTAAAAAGAGTGAATTTATCGATAGACGGTAAACTCGGTTTGTACTCGCTTGTCACGCAATCGATAAGCGTTATTGCAGCTAATTGCAACGGACTGTTTTCTTGCAGGTTAAAAGATAGAAACGTACATCTAGTTGATGCTGCGAAGATCTCCCGCGAAAAGAGGATGGCCGATGAACAGCTCGGCAAGAACGCATCCGGCGCCCAAATATCCACCCCACATCCGTACTTCTTCGCTTCGAGCAGTAACTCCGGTGCGCGATAGAATCTGAAACCATCGACATATTCTAAGGATTTGGTAACAACCTCGTGACCTGATACGGTGGAAGTCGGTTTCCGACTTTATAGGTGGCCGACGACCCGAAATCAGAGATCTTGAGCAGCCCGGTAGTTGGCTCCACGAGCAAGTTTTGTGGCTTGATATCGCGGTGGATGACCGATCTCTAAATTTCCCAATTACCGCAGGAGGACTTTCAAGTTAGCTATTTGAACTATTCGCAGCGATCTCAAGCTTCCAACCTTTTGAAGGTGCAATTATCCCCGAAAAATCTGCCAGGTGAACAGCTTGATATCGAGCAGGTCGATTTTGCTGTTCCGAGCCTAAAATTAAAAATATACTTGGAGCGGAAGAAATGCGTACCTGACAATATCCTTGCAGCGTGGCGGGCATGAATTCGAAGATCAACGATTGACACACCTGAAAAGTGAAGCTTTGAACTTTAACGGACGACGAAAACCGGAAAATTTCTGAACGTTACTTACAAAACAAATATCCAACCCACCGTTCTTTGTGGGTAGTTAAATAGCTGTAGCGCAGCCTGACGATGTTCTTGCAGCCGGCCATCGCTGTCTTCACAAAATGCACTTCTGGGATTGTCTTGTTTTGGGCCTGCGGTCCGTTTATCCACGTCTTCTTGGCCGCGACTTCTTGTAGACGTCCATCTTCAGCGGTCTGAGCTGTGCAAATGAACATTGAAATGGCTATCTATGATACGCTTATACTTCGGGGGGCGGGGGGGCGGCAGGTGTACTATCTAATATATTTCATTCCATAGCGTCTGAAATTTTGAACAGCCGCCAGCCCTCAAAAACTGCTTCATGGTAAAGGTTTGCTATAAAAAATTTCTTAAAACGGCCCTTTTAGCGCGCAGAGCTACATTCTCGCCCACAAAGCACGGCTTGTGAGACGAATCTTAGCTTATTAGACCTAGGATCAATTAGGCCCGTTTAGCTTACCCGCTAGTGTAGAAGTATAATTGTACTAAAACTTATTTACGGTACGGCCTAACGGAGTTTACGGACCCTACGGACCGTCCATAAATTCCGTTAAACCGTCAATTGACGCCCTTCGTTTTTCGGAACGATCTCACGAAAAATTATTTCACCTGGAAATATACACGGGGACCTATGCACAAGCTGTTTTGGTTTATGAATTTACCAGAAATGAAAGCGCGAGGCGTCGAAGGTAAACGGACATCAAGACATCGATCGCAAAAACATCCCAAAATGCCAGGTCGAAAAGGAGCTGGTTTTATGTAAATGACGTTTTCAAATGCAAATTTTTCGAAGTTGTGCCTATCATTCGCTTCGAGACTCGCGGAAATTTAAATTTTTAAGTATGTACCTAATATGTCTGACTAAAATATGTCTGATTGTTTGTCTGCTTTTTATTGGCAAAAAGTAATCTTTTATCCACATGGCAAGGCTAAAATTTGGGCCCGTAATGAAGTGATTCGGGTTTTGGCGGTCCGTTATGAGTACATCGACGTTATCAGAATGTCGTCTTCATCGGAATCCTATGGAAAATATTTGTTTTGGATTTATAAAATTCTTACGTCTCGCAACATTCCCATGCCAATTCGTCGATTGCGGGAGACTGCCCGAATTCTGGCACGTCGTCGGATGAAGAGTAGAATGGCCACGCAAAGGGCCACTGTCCCACCGCCGATCAGGAAAACCTGATGTCGAGTGAGAAGACCGCCAGCGACGTTTGACTATAAGTCCTGATTTTCCAAAAAAAAAGTTTGTATGGTACTGTACCGTGAGCGGAGTTAGCACGGGAAATAATTTTTTACTATCGCCTCGTAAAGTTTCCAGCTTTTCTATAGCTTTCCCCGCTAACAGCCCAGTACCGTCAATATCATACCGTTGGGGCTGGTGGGGTCGTCGTGGCGAGAACGCCGCCATTCGCTGCAAGTTCGGCCGCTTTTCCTGGGTTTTGCTTTAATCTATTAACAGTTGAAGATGACGATTTGCGCCTCAGGATTACCTGGCGACATCGTCACAATTCCATTCATCAGATCCATCGCTGCATTGGGGGATGCCATCACATACATCGTATTTGGCTATGCATTCTCCGTTCTTGCAACTGAAGGATAAGAATTTGCTTCAAGTATTTAAGGTATGTAATTTCCCTAATGTTAAAATAGTTTTATTTATTCACTGAACTTTGAATAGTTGATGAGCAGAAAGGTTCTTTAGCTTCAGTAGAATCCAGTTTCTCTATTATGATAGATGAGGCGTCTCTAGTAGAAATATGCTACACTTTTTACGTCCGCAAATAGAAACTTTACAAATTTGTATTAAAGATATACTAATATAAAATTTTCGATCGAAAATTGTCGACTTTCACCACAAATTCCAATTTAGGAAGCATTTTTTTTTCTTTTTCTGAATAGTTTTGTTAGATGCGCTCCATTTTAACCCACCCAAATTGCCAAAGGCCCGGGCAAGGCGGCAACAATGGTCGACCGCCTCCCATGTCGACATTTGACGAGGATCGCTCATAGCCGTACTAAAATCGGTGGTGGTTCATTAGCGGGGGGGGGGGGGTGACAAGGCGTCAAGCATTCCTTTTCCAGATTAGCGTCTGTTGTCATCAAACATCGGCTATTTGTGGAGAATTTTTAGCAGTCGAGCAGTCAGATTATTAAAAAGTTTAAGTTTTATGCAATTTTTTGTATCTAAAAATGCTGTAACATATTTTTAAATATTTGATATTCACTATTCGGTATTTACGGTACATAGAAAATTAAGGTTCTAGCCGATAACGCCCCCCCCCCCCTTTCAACAAACTAGAACCTTAAACCGTGCGAACAACCCCTCTTTCCGGAACTCACCTGACTACACACCGTCTCGATTAGGCAGCTTATAGCATAAAAAATCGAGGCAAAATCGTGAAACCCCTTCCGGAGCATGGGTGGATTGTGTTGGAATGCTGATGCTTAAAAATTGTTTGGGGGTTGGTTAGGGAAATGACCAAACGTAGTTTGGCGGGCCAAAAGGGGCCCTTGTGGCCGTGGAAGGCGATCGATGACGGGGCCCTCGTGGAATGGAACAGCCCGCCAGGGGCAGAATGGGACACACAACACATCCATCCGCCTAGCATTTATAAATGCACTCTGGGCTCGAAGCGCGGAATGGGAAGCTTTTTGAGATGATGAGGGAATAGGCTTTTTTTTGGGTGCATCGGGTGGTAATTGGAAAGAGAAGACGGTTTTTGGCGTTATCGGGCAGGGGGGGGCTTTCCGTTTGATCCAGTCTTTCTGGCGTAGATAGACGATGTGTTTCTAAACTTTTTTTACTCTTTCTAAACGCAAAAACTAATAAATTTAGTTTAAAAATTACAAAAAAAATTTGATTTTCAACAAAAATTCTATTTAAAGCTTTTGTGATACGTTTTCCACTTGAGATATGGTTGAATTTTACCAACACTATTTCGATACTTACGTTTAAGTTATTTGTAGTTTTTGGACTTGGAGAGGAAAAAAGGAAAAGCCCACTTTTTACTTCAAAATTTTTTTTACCCGCAGATTTTAAGATAAATCTACGGCAGTATTTCTGTGCCGCAACCTTTCCAAACCCTTTAAACCCGGCGAAGCGCTTTGCTTTTTGCTTTCCGTCTTGAGCCTAGCTTCTGGCGCTATCAACCCTCACCATCCCGCCAACCGGAAGGCACAGCTGGTGTTCGCCCTCTCCCTCTCGCCTCAGGGCCCGTAGTTTGTATCCAGAGGAGGGCCAAAATTTGCAAATTATGGCTTCACCTTTGCACCTTTGCACGTCTTTTCCTGCAATTTTAGCATCATTTCATGTTAAAAAGTAAAGAGCTAAAAATTTCTGGCTTTTTCAGGTATTGGGCATGGTGTCCTGACGATGGGTAATCCTCTTACGAGCCTGGAGGCATTCTCCCGACTGCTTGAAGACTTTGAAGAGACGCTAGCCGAACACCAGGCCAACGTTTCGGAAAGGTGCTTTCTATTTGAAAAACTTGGAAACAAACCTGTCTTGATTTTGGCCGAAAGCTGGCCATTTTCGGCGGAAAATTGGCTATCCTTCGTATTTTTGACGAAAATAACGTAACGATAATTAGTTTAATAATGTTTTAGTAAAATTCAAATATATTTCAGGTGAAAACGCATGAAAAAACATTGGAAAATCGAATTTTGTTCGAAAAATGGCTTTTTTTGTATTTTTCGCAAAAATTTTGTAACTTCTTACGTTTAGAAATAGTAAAAAGCAGTTTAGAGACGGTTCCGCTATTTATGTTAGATAAATTGGATCCTAATAAAAAAAAAAAAAAAATTGTTTGTGTGGGTGTGTGTGTTTTTGTGTGCCTTTCGCCCCTCCCCCCCCCCCTCCCCCTCGTTCCCCCCTAATTAAAAAAAAAGAGAAAGAAGCATCAGTTGGCACTATCCTTCATTTTCGCCCAGGGCCCCGACGGCCCCCCCCCAATCAAATTTTTAAAAACCACCCCCTCCCTAAAAAAATTTAGGTTTTGGGAAACCCCCTCTCCGAAAAAAAACTATCAACCCCCGGGGGGGGGGCGCCCCCCAAAAAGGGGCCAAAAGGAACCATTTCTTTTTTTCCCCCCCTTTACCCTGGTTAAATAAAAAAATCTTTTTGTTCCCCTGTGACTGCGAACCAACCATAAACCCGTTTCTTAGTGTCCCGCCCAATCCACCACCGTCGTTTTGCTACCGCAGAAGAGTGCTGCTCATTTACTTCCTGCTCAACGTGCTGTTATTCGTCGGCGCCGTCGATTTGTAAGCGTAGAGCCTAAAATTTAAAAGAAACCTAGGGAAAATGACGTATCCCCATCGCTTTTGATCGCGGCATTTATCTCATTCGGGCTATGCGCTTCGTTGATATGGCTTGGAGCCACGCAAAAGCGATGCCTTCGTGATCGACGAGTCGACGAGGCAAAAAGGGTACTAGAAAAGTTGAAAAATGTAAGAAATCCGAGATTTTGGGATGGAGATATCTAGGTTGACGCGGAAACCATCGATTATGATGCGATTTTCGAGCCGCCAAGCGAGGAATGGATCTGCCAATGGGTGGAGAGGCTGAAGCTCCCTTCACCAACTACCATCCCAACTTTGCTGCTTGCTAGAGGGGATGTTCTTTTGTTACGGTAATTTTTGAATCGTATTTTTACTGAAAAGGCCATGGAAAACGACTGGTTCTTTCGCATTATCGGGGGGAGGGGTTGCAAGTTAGAAATGCCTCGTAACTTAATATAAAGTATTTTAATGGTGTTTTTAGTAAGATGAAGCTATATTTCAACCAGAAAAACTATCTAGAATCTTTCAAAAAGTCGACATTTTGGTAAAACAAATGGATATTTTTGTATTCCTAATAATTTGAAGTTTTGACGTTTAGGAATAGTAAAAACGGCTTAAAACACTTCTGCTATTTGATTTTAAAAATTAGATCCTGAAAAAAATGTAAAAATCCGTTCCCCGATAATGCCAAAGAACTACACCACTTTTTCCAGACCTGGCCAGCCTGCCCCTTGCAAATGCGAAACTCTTCACACGGGAATCCAGCTGGAAAGGGGCCAAAAATTTGAGCAAACCGTGAGAAGGGACGGCGAAACGGGTGCAGCTATTCCGCTAGAACCTACAAAGGTTTGGCGCGGAAGAAATTGTAAAATTTTAGTAAAAATTTTTAGTGCATCGTTCTCGAAGCGCCAATTCGACAGCACCTAACTACAATCTTTGCCGGGACTGTTTTGAGCACTCCTTTGGATATCCAGGTAGAAAAATGATCTGTGTTTTAAGCTCTTTTCCAGATTGGAAGAATCTTGAATACGCTGCTAACAAAATTTCTACTACCATTTGCTGTCGTGGCGAGCATCGCGCTTACCGTGACGCGGTTTTGGATTTCCGACGAGTCGTCACTTTTTGGGAAACGGTTAGAGTTTTGGTTCTTTTGCATTATCGGATGGGGGCGAAATTTTTTGTACAATTCTGGAAAATACTAATAACTCAATAAGAATTTTTTAGTAGAATGAGCATATTTCAACTAATACAATTTTTTTGAGAAACCTTGGATAAGTCGAAACTTTTATCAAAAGCAGCCATTTTGCTCAAAATCGATTTTTTTGTAGTTTTTGATAAGAATTTGTAAAGTTTTTGGGTTTGTGAGAATAGTAAAATACTTTTAGAAACAGTTCAGAAGTTTTTTTCTGTAAAATCGGGCCCTTGGAAAACGTCGACTTCCCTCGATAGTACAAAAGAACCGTCTTTTCCATTTTTACGTGAAGTTTTTTTAGGTTCATCTTTGCCGTCCCGGCCACAATTTTGATACCACTGCTCTGCCCTGTCTTTCCGCTATTCTACATTGCCATACTTTTATAGTAGGTTTCGCCGTAAAAAGCAGGATTAAGGATGATTTTCCAGCAATAATACCGTCGTCTATGATTTCCTCGGATCCGGCGATTTGGCGAGAAGCACCTCAATTTTCAAGATCTTCCACAATGCTAGGAAAAGTTTTAACCGTAGGTTTTCGATTCCTTTTTCAAATTGCTTCCAGGCAACGATTTTTGGACGACGGATCTGGTGTCGCTGTTTGGTTCATTGACCGCCATTTGCTTTGTCGATAAAAAGGTGGGATTTTGTAGGTCGTTTGTTTCGTAAAAATGCGTATATTGTAGCTTTCAAAAATTTATTCTTCAAAACAATGCCGGTTTTCTTCAGGGTATCGTCTCGTCGCCGAATCCACTGCTCGATAAGCTGTTCTTTTTCACGCGCCAGACGGACGAATTGGAGGAGGGTGTTGGTAGGTGTGAAATGTTCCGCTGGAAGTGAGCGTATTTAGAAACCGGAAACCCCCCCCCCCCCCCCCCCCCCCCCCAGGAACCATAAACCCCCTCCCCCCTGGGGGGCGGCGCCCGCCCCCCCCTTCCCTCCCCCCCCCCCCCCCCCGCGCCCCTGGCCTCCTTTTTCCCCCCCCCTTCGCCCCGCGCCGCCCCCACCCCACCCCCCCCCCCCCCCCCGGCGCCCCGCCCCCCCCCCCACCCCTCCTGCCCCCCCCCCCCCGAGAGCGAGACCCCCCAAACACTCCGAACCCCGAGCCCCAAATATGTTTTGTTGTAACTACAAAACAAAAAAAAACCCCTCCCTTTTTTTTAAACCCTTTTCCCCCCAAACTCCCCCCCCACCCCCCAACCCCCCCCCCTCCCCCCCCTTTATTTTTTAAAATTTTAATATATTCTTGTACTAAACTAAGACCAAAAACAAAAAAACAAATGCTGTCCGTCCCCCCCCCCCGGCCAAAAATCACAACCCCTCCGGCCGAGAAATCGTCATTACAGGAAAATTTTTTCTTATATGATAGGATATGGGACTTTGGCAATATCGGGGGAGGGGTAAAAATTAGAAAAAGGTTAAAAATTGGTAATATTGTCGAAAAAAACTATTTTTTTATAAAAATTTGCAAGGTTTTTACGTTTGCAAGAGTTGTTTATAATTTTACGAAAATTTTAAGCCGTTTTATTTTTGGTCTTGGTGTTATAAATTTGTAGTTTTAACGTTTAGCAATAGTTCAAAACTGGAGGAACCAGAAGTGATGCTTATATCTAAAAATTACGTATAAGCTTTAGAAACGCGCAGCCCAACATTCCCCGAAGTGCTCGAATTGAGCGGTGAGAAGGCGGACGGTGAATGGGTGCTCGGTTTCGATGATCCCGCATGGTATTTTTAGGCTAAATTTTGAACTATCTAATTCCAGGGTGCGTTTCATTGACTCGCTGCTGCCCTTGGGTGAAAATGTGCGGTTGAATGGCTGTGGGTTGTACAAGGACTATTTGCGGTTTCTCGACCATGCTACTTGTGTGGCTGAGTGAGTTAAATAACGATTTTATCGAAAATGTTTTTGTTCAAGCTTTTCGAAGCAAAAGTTCTAGGTCTGTCCCGCGCACCATTGCCGTCGCTTCGAGACGCTGCCTCTGTCAATTTCCGAAACTTTTAAAGTGAGTTTTATAGTGTTTTCAAGATCTTATATTTTTTCCAGGCTTTCCCCATCCAAAGAAGGTGCCATCACGACGAGCGTGGCCGTCTATAAACGATTGCCAGGCCAGGAGCCACCGCCGGGGTTTGTTTCATTGAAAAACCCAAAAACCACGCATTTTAGGCTTGTTCGGCATCGAACTCCGCTCGAGGGAGCTTTTTGTGCATTGCAGACCGACGAGCATTCGCTACATCGACATCTCGCGTGTCAGGTATCGTATGAAGTACGCATCAAACGGGGGAGGAGAAACTGATTTTTTTAATAAGCCTAAAAATGCCTAGTAACGTACTAGTAACCATGTTAATAGTTTTTTAGTAAAATTTAATCTATTTCAGCTCAAACATTTGAAATTCTGCTCGTAAATCGGCGACTCAAATAAATATTTTAATTTGTGTTTAAAAATAAGATATTGGATTGGATTTCCTTTTTCCAGGGCACCGCTTCTGTCGTCCTGAATTCCTGCTCGCACGTCTGGGACGGCACAGCCATCAACCCGATCACGAATCTCGAAAAACGGGCTGCAATGGATTTCTACCATCGCCATTCTATGACCGGGTAAAAGGTTGTCTTCTTTTGATACCTCTAATTTTTCAGCTATTGCCTCGGTCTCTCCTATCGAGCCGCCGGCGCGTTGCCCAGCTCTCGATTGGCTGGACAATTCTTGGAGGTAGATCGAAAAAATTTTATTGTGGAAAATGTTTTCTAGGTCGGAGCCGGCGGTCGTTTCCACCCACACGCCCCGCATTCGCCGAGCTTGCCTAGATGCCACTCGGCCGAATCATTGGCCCATCGCGACTTTTTCGCGCCCTCGGAGATTACGGTAAATATATTGAGTTATTTTTAGAGATCAAAACGTGTTTTAGACGGCGCCGGAATTGCTCGAATCGTACTTTGAAGGGCACGTTTTTTGCGGAATGTTCGTGCTGCAATATCAGGTGAACATCGGCTGGATTCTTGGCGATTTTCTAGGAATCTAGACACCTATAAAAATATAAAGTTATTTTTTTCAGGCTGAACCCTCCATCGTGGCTCTTGTAGAAGCTGTCGAAGCCGACGCCATCCGTTTCGTCTATTTCTCACGGGAGAACGAGCTGAGGAGCCGGGTTTTTGCTGAAAAACTGGGATTGGAATCTGGGTAAGCTGAAATCGGAAAATACTGAAAAAATTTTGCAGTTGGAATTGCCACGTGAGCCTGGCCGAGGAGGAGCGCGTATGCCGGAAGAACGACATTTTTGCGGCTCGTGGGTTTACATGAGAAATTTTTAAAAAAATACGGTTTTTAGTATATCGCACGCGCCCGAGCCGTGGCCTTCTACTGGCCAGCCACGATTCATTGCCTCTGGAGAGCGAGTATTGCATGGCAGCGAGATGTGGGTTTACATTTATATAGTTAGGATTATTTTCCACTAGGTTAATAATAGTTTTTTTTTTTTTTTAAAAAAGAGGATCCCCCCTCCCCCCCCCCCCCCCCCCCCCCAAATTATCCTTCTTTTTTTTTTCTCTTTTTTTCTCTCTCCTTATTTTTAAAAAAAAAATTCCACCCCCCTTTCCATTATATTATACAACCCCCTTCAATTTTTTTTTTTTTTTTATTATAAAAAAAAATTTAATTTTTTTTTTTAATTTTTTTTTTTTTTTTTATATAAAAAATTTTTTTTTTTTATTTTTTTTTTACCCCCTCCCTCCCACCACCCCCCCCCCCCCCAACAAACTCCCCCCCCCCCCCCCCCCCCCCCCCTTTTTTATTTTTCCCCCCCAAAACACAAAAAAATTTAAAAAAAAAAAAAAAAAAAAAAAAAAAAAAAATTTTTTTTTATATATAAGGATCTCGTTAATGCGTTTTTGTTAAGGTGGTTTAATCAATACCCCCTTCCGCCTCCCTCCCGCTTCCCGCTCGGGGGGTTCTCTCCCCCCCCCTTCCCTCCCCCCCCCCCCCCCCAACACGCCCCCCCCCCTTCAACTATCCCCCCTCTTTTTTTATTTTAATTTATTTAAATTTTTTTTTTTTTTTTTTTTAAATTTTTTTTTTTTTTTTTTTTTTTTTGGTTTGGGTTTTTTTCCCCCCTTTTTTTCGGAAAAAAAAAAATTTTAATTTCTTTCTTCTCTGGGTTTTTTTTTGTTTTTAAAAAAAAAGGAGTGAAAAAAAATTTTTTTATATTTGTTCCTTATAGATAGCCCATATTCTCGGAGCACATCGCGAACGGGCAGTGTCCAGAAGGTGGCACCGCTGCTGAACAAGGCTCAACTACCGCAAGGGGTTCGTGAAAAACACAATTCTAATAGTCACCTCAATCACGACGTTGGCGCAGTTTTTACGGCCTATTATTGTAAATCGTAAATTTTGCGGTACAGGATTCTTAACGGGGGGGTGGCAGGGGGAAAACAAAGTATTTGAAATAATCTCGTGCGGCCCTATTGCTAAATATATTTTTTATAGCATTTAAAACTGTTTTTAGATGTAGAAAATTTCGAAAAATTCTAAAGGTTGTCGAAGTTTTTGGCGAAGAAGTATGAAAAACGGCCAAAAACGTCAAGATTTTCGAATTTTCAGATTTTTTAAGATGTTTTTGATAAGTTTATCGCAATCAAAAACTATTAAAAACACCGTAAAAACATTATATATTACAACAGTTAGGCGGAAAGACAAAATGAGTTTCCCCCTGCTAAAAGCCCCCCTAACAGTCCAATACCGATTTTCCTCATGATAGCTTTAGCTTTTTGGATACCGGGCGTGAAAAAGAATAAATAGTTTGGTAAAAAATTGCGATATCATTTTAGGTATCGGCTGTTCGACCTCATCTCGAAGAAATCGACAACGTCCCGCTACAGGTTGGCCTCTTCACCGATTCAACCCCCGGCGCCACAAAGGAAATGATCGCCATCATGCAGGTGCGTCTAAAAAGTATTACTTTATTACTGCGTCTTTTTTGTTAGGAATACGGTGAATTCGTGTTGGCCGTAGGCTCGTCGCTAAACGTCGCCAATGGCAGCATTTTTGGCCAGGTACAAACCTGGTCATTTTTTAATGACTTCTAGGCCAACGTTTCAATTTGTGTGGAGCCGTTGCGGGACGATTGTCAGGCGACGAAAACGGTACTTTACTAATTACGTCACTGAAAAATTGTGTGATTCAGGAAAAAGTGGAGCCCCGGGTCAGAGCCGTCGCCCTCGCCACGGACTGCATGAAGATTGGGGCGAATTTTGTGCTCCAGCACCAGCAGGTTGGGCTTGAAGTGGTACTGGGTTGTTAGCGGGTGGGGGGAGACTGGAGTTTGACTTTGGCCCCCCCCCCCCCAAGGACAGAAAATGAAAACGTGTTTTTTTTTCCCTTTTTTTTTTATAACAAAATAAAAAAAAAAAAATTAAAAAATAAAAATTTTGAATCGTAAAATTTTTAAATTACGATGATTTTTAGCGACTAAAAACTGCTAAAAACGACAAAACTTCGGAAACTTCGGTTTACAAGAATAGGCTAAATAGCTTTTATCCCGGGTAAAATCTCACTCAGTCCTCCCCCACTAACAGCCCAGTACCCTAGAAAATTGATAAAAATCCACCTTTTTGTTAGTTGCCCCTCCTCTCCGAGCTGATCACCGCTTGTCGACATCGGCTGTACTCGCTGAGGATTGCGCTCCAATTTCTGCTCCTCCTCTCCGGGTCCCTGTCACTTCTCGTGGCCCTTTCAGCCGCTCTCTATCTCCCCATCGTCTTCAAGCCGGACCAGGTTTGCAGAGAATCTACGAATTCTAACAATTCCAGATGCTACTCTTCGTGCTCATCTCTTTCCCATTAATCGCTACTTCACCTCTTTTGGGCTCATTTCTGCCGCGGAAGAAGTTTGTGAAGATTGCCGGCAAAAATCAGGAACATGTCAACCGGTTAACTCAAAAATGAGCCTCAAATTATGCCGTTTTTTAGGAAGGAAGTGGTCGGCGCCCTTTGGTCATTTTGTATACAATTTCTGCCGATGATACTCTTCACGTTGGCGCTGTACTTTTTCTTGGTCAGTTTAGGGGCCATTTATCTATGACAAAAATTTGTTTTACAGAGGGTTTGAGCTTCAGCAATGCTTAGAAAAACGTCTAAGAAAAGGATTTTGTCAGTAGCAAAAATTTAGAATATTTTAAAAATAAAAATAAACGTTATTTTCTAGATACTAGCTTTTCCTGAATTTCCTATCGTAATCATATAACGCCAATACGCATTCCCTTGTAGCTCGTCCGCCACGTCGATTTCGAGTGCGAATTCTCGGATCTGGTGTGCTCGGTGGGATATCTGCACGATGAGTGGGAGCCACTCCCAATTCCCAGAAAAAGCCATGTTTTAGAAGCGAGTCCAACGGCACCCTGACGGCCCATCTGAAGCTGAACACCGAGCAAGTGCGGCATTTGGTCGCGTTTCAGGTAGGGCAAAGAAAAAAGTTTGATTCTATTAAAAAATTCAAAAAAGAAGAGCGCGATTTCAGTTCCTCTGTTTCACCATCGTCCACTCGTTATCCTGGGCTTCTCCGCTATTTCCGGTCTATCAGAGCCGAGTATTTCTCAGGCCTCTATGGCTTTTGACAGTCATGTTTCTACTCTTCCTGCAGGTAAAATTTGGAGTAGGTTAGTATTTCCAGGGGTCAGATTTATCCTGATTCCATCTACGCCTAGCAAGTATTGTAACAGTGTTTTTGACAAAATTTAACCATTAAAAAACAATTTAAAAACTTTGAAAAGTTTAAAAACAATTCCTCTATTAATATCAGGAGCTAGGTCCTAAGAAAGATCCTGACCCCCCCCGAAAAGAGAAAATACCCCCAAATTTACAAAACAAAACGAAATTCCCGTTTAGCTTATTTTTTCCACGATATCACTTGACGCGAATCTTCTCAACCTCATCACGACACCCCAGCTATTCGGGCTTGTCGTTTGGAGCATCTGTATTCTTCTTGTAAACGAGGTGAGATAATAAGTATTGTAAAAAAGTAAAATAAGTACTGACTATTTTCTATTTTACAAATTTCCATTTTGACCTTTGTTATTTTATAAGTCTAAAATATTTAAAACCCTATTTTAGGTCCGAAAACTGACGCAACGCCGCCTGTTCATGCGGGAACAGCGCCGACGAAAATTGGCATTTGATACTAAACTAGGCATGAATTCGCCATATTAAAAGATCCTTCAAATAGGCAATTTATTGTATGTACATATCGCAATAAATAGAATATATATATAATTTATCTACCTATACATCTTCTATTGGTAAATACAGGCTTTTATCCACCGCCCAGCGCGAACTTCTTGGTCCACTCCCGGGCCATACGAGCCCGATCGCGGGCGATGGCCTCTGGGTCGTCGTCATTTGGGTCTTCACGCTCGGCGGGGAATTGAGTGGTAATTGAAGAATACGGGCCGGGAGGATCTGCAAATTTTTAATTCACTAATGTTCCATTGTAATGGCGTTTTATTGCGGTTTTAATTCTACCTGGAGGTATCGTTAACAGAAGCTCCACCATCCAGTCGAGCAGCCCGTCGATGGCGGTTTCCGGGTATTTGTCGAGCTGTTCTTTGGGTAGCAGAAGCGAGCCCTTGGCTGAGACATAGGGATGCCAGACTCGGGTTAAGAATGTTATCTGGAAAGTGTTTTCATAGGTACCAGGGTTGAAAAGCCGCTTCGCGACTTTTCAACCCTGGCCCCGTGCTGGACGAATGAAAGCTTACACTTTGCATAATTCCACCCAACTCTCGTTGAAAAAGTGAAAAATACGCTCTCTACTCCTTGAAATAGGCTACCGCCACTTCCGGTGTATGCTAATTGATTCCTAACAAAGAGGGTCTCGGATTTTTCAACAAAAACTAAAATTTAATGTCGGAAATAGGCGATTTTGGTCAATCCGATATGTGTGCAGTCATCTCCAGACCATTACGCTCCTAATGACGTATCAAAAACGTCCCTAACTACTCTCCTTCTTGAGATACTGCTGGAACACGCTGACGGAAGTTGCATGCAAAGTGGCACACACACACACACACACACACACAAACACTATTTTTTTATATATAGTAGGATTTGGAACAGCGTGAATCCCTAACAATGTCAAATTCCTGGCTTTTTTAGCGTTGCGGAAAGCTAAATAACTATTTTCCCCGTAAAAGCGAAAATAAATTAGAAAACATTTATATCTAACAGTTTCGTACGAATTAAAGAAGAAAAGCTAAAAAATTGACAAAGATTTGTAAAAAGTAAAAAATTACAAAATTTAGCCTATTTAAATGTCTATTTTTTTCTAGATATAATTGCGCTGATCGGAAACGATTAAAACACTATAAAATACAGTCTATTTTACTACTAGTTCAGCATTGGCTCAATAAGAACATACCTGTGGCGCCTCACGGAGGTAAAGACCGGAGAACTGGACTTGAAACCAGAAATAGCCACCCTCGTAGGGTGTGTCCTAAATTTGCATTAATTTTATTCCTAAAGTATGCACATTTCTAAACTAACAACAATTCTGCTGAAAATTACTGTCTTTCCCAAAAATTTGCTTCATAACAGCCTCACAACGATAATTACTTTTTGAACCATCGTCAAAAAACCAACCGGTTGCCCTTCCAGCACGCCCTGCCACTTCAGCTCGTCCGACTTCCGCGGCGCCATCATTATGTATTTTCGCGGGTTCTAAATCTCTATGAATTCTTTTGAATCGGCCCTACGAAATATAGTCGAAGCGCTTCCATTGGCAGCGAGACGCGGGCCGTCTTCTCGTATTCCAATCGCTTCAAGTTTTTGGCGTGCAGCTTTAGATATCCTAAAAAACCCGGTAAAGTCGTCGATTATAGTTATTTTACGCTGCCGCTCAGCGCCCGTATATTGTTGCTGATCCGTGACGTCTTCGACAAATTCTGGCTCTGGGGCTGTGAAGGGAGGCTTGGCGGGCAGGATTTGGGTGAAGTCGATCATGTTTCGGATTGCTGGTTTCTACAGAAAATTCGGGTTTTAGAGTAGCTATTAAAAAAAGCAAACCTTTCCGTCTTCCGACAATCCTCTCAGTGCCACGGGGCGGCAAGCAGGTTCGTGGCCGAATCTGAGAATTAGGGATTGCTTCAATATTGCTCAACATTGCTTCCAGGTTCTCCCTGCCTTCAGTTTTTGCAAAGACAACTTCACGCACACCTTCTTTACTGTTTTTCTGATTTTAAAATATATAATCAATTTATATTTTAGGTTCTTTAGTATTGTCGGGAAGGTCGGAATTCTATTCCTGTAATTAGAACGCTATAGCAGGTACTATAACAAGTTTTACTGAAACTTAGCTAGTTCTAAAGTCGAAATACTATTTAGAAAACTATTAAAAATGTCAAAATCCAGATCGCAAACTATATTTATCAAGTGAAAGCTAAACACTCAGTAAAAACTTACGGTGCTGGACATATTTCCGGAAATATGTCGGGATTCACATTGAGATTGTCGAAAACGAGCGTCCGAACCGCAGGCCTTCTAGCCGAGACTCCACGGCCTGTGCTGGGGCCAGGTTGAGATGAAGTCATCGTTGCACTAGGCACATTCACCGTCGTAAGCGCTTGATTTGACGGTCCGGCGCCAGAATCCATGAATCCGGCACCAGCTTGTGTTGATGTAGATGTCGTTTCCGGGGTGGTGTGATGGGGATGGCCGCGGCCCCGCGTGCTTAGATTGAATGGGTTGTTGCCCCTAAATAAATTTAGAGGAAAGAAAGACTTTTCTAACCTTTCAAACTGTTCGATTGAGCCGTGACAGCGCCGGGGATCCGGGACGATGCCTTGTCGACTACGGGGATCAGCGTTGATATAAGGAGTCGCGGGGAGCACGTCGTCTTCGCGGATGTATTCCCTGAAAGTTTTGGGGCGTAACGACCATTTGTCGCTGGTGGTTTTAAAAGAAATCTAACCGTAAATATTTAGACGATTTTTAGCGGCTATCTAACGAAAGAGCGGGCAAATTTTGAGGTGAGAATTTTCTCGAAACCAAACCTATATTGAATATTTCGCAATGAAGTTGCGTAACAATTCTCCGCCCATTCAACGCGTAATCAAACATACGGAAGGTCGGAAGGCGGGTACGTGGATGAAGAATCAGAGCCGCTGGTGAAAAGCGAAGAACTGCTGCTTCCCGACCGATCTTCCATTTTTTGAGTGATCTACACGGCCGTTCGGATCTTCATCCAGTTCTCGGGCAAGGCTGGACTACCCCGGACGTGACAAGCCTCTGCACGGCCGGCTGGAAGTCGAATGGTACACATGATGAAATACCCCTCTCCCCATCTGACTTGCAAGGCTATGGTTCAATATAGAATACAGGGTTCAGACTCATGACGCTTATTGAAAGCGCCTAAAAGATGTTTTGGGATTCAGATTTCGCGAAGCAGCTAGCGTTCAATAATGTGCAATCTTTGGGAATCAGTTTGGTGAATTCTGTAAGTAAACATTGCCTAAGTCTGTAACTGTGTAGGTCACTATCATAAACCACGCGTCGCCTGGAATCAAAAAAAAACCCGGGAGAAAGCAACGCCAAACTCTAAAAAGATAAATGCTAAACTGAAGCTGCAACGCTTACAGCAGCCACCCCTGTAAGTAACCCCTTCGAAAAAGCATGGTTCACCGCAACTTCGAACTTCTATATGCCACCATACCATGCTCATACTCACCCCAAGCAGAGTTGCAAAAAATTTATTGATGGTACGGGCATTTATTCACATTTCACAGAAATTGACAAAATTCAAATATGGTAAGAATTATTCGAGGACAAGTTTCAAAAATTCATTTGCAGCAAGTGCCCCCCTTTTGCTGGGCATTATTTGCGGCGTTGATATCGACAGTCCCGGTCGGTTCACCAGGGGGTGGTCCGGTAGGCAGCTGAGAGGGGGAGAATTTGAGTAATTTTTGTCGAGCAAAAGTATACCTTGCGTGCAATTGCCATAAAGATGTCGTTAACATTCATCGAAGATTTGGCAGAGGTTTCCATGAACAATAGGGAGTTGTCTTCAGCATATGCCTAGAAAGAAATTGCTTCAAAACATAAATCATACCTGGGCTTCCTCGTATTCAACCGCACGACGGTTTGCAACGTCGGCTTTATTACCGGCAAGAGCCATCACAATGTTTGGGGAGGCCTGGCGCTGCAGTTCCTTCACCCAATTTTTGGCCTTTTGGAAGGAGTCCTGTAACAAAAGAATAAAATAAAATAAAAGAATTTCGTACCGCGTTCGTAATGTCGTAGACCACTATAGCGGCCTGGGCGCCGCGGTAGTACATAGGAGCCAAAGAGTGATACCGCTCTTGCCCAGCCGTATCCCAGATCTCGAATTTGACGGTCGCATCATCCAGAACAACAGTTTGCGTCAAGAAAGCGGCTCCAATCGTAGACTCTTGGTACTCGTGAAATTGGCCCTTCACAAATCGAAGTACTAGTGAAGATTTGCCTGAAAAACGGAGATTTAAAACCGTCCGGGACAACGAATTCCATCGCCCCTGTGAACTGTTTCAATTTTACAACGGGAGATAGCCGGCCCGGGTTGTTTATTCGGTACTTATGCAACCAAAAGGCGACGATCGATGGAAGCGATAAACAAAGCCGCCACCGCGTCATAACACCCGGGTATCAATTTCGCAAGCGAACGGGCCCGCATACGAATTGAGAGGCATTATCGAATGAAAGACGAAATCGAACCACTCACCTACAGCACTTTCACCGAGCAAAACAAGCTTAAACTGGCATGTCCTGTTTCCTCCGGCTGGCGCAGTCCTTGTCGTCCCCTGTCCACCTCTACTCGCCATCCCACAACCTGAAAAGAAAAGTATTTTTCTTGCTGTCATGAAATCGAAGAGATGGTTGAGGAATTTTTGGCATGGAATTATGAACAGGGGGAGCGGCCAACGGGACCAATTAGGGACCAGCTGCACCAGAAGAGAAGATACGGCGGTCGTCAGGGCAACTGGGCCACAGACTTTAGAGCGGAAGTTGTCTACGCAGAGGGGGCCCAACGAGTTTGGAAGTTTATAAAGTCAAACTAAAGAGTAGAGATCAATAGATAACGCTTGTTATTCTTAACAACTCGAAGAAAGTAGGGCACTACTTCAGTTTGCTGGCCCCACTTATATTTCGCCAAAACCTCATGTTTCCGGGCTAGTTTTTTGCGCTGATTCCGAAAAACACTATCCCGAATCGTCAAAGTTGTGTTTTGAAGGGAAAAACAATTTCATTGTCAGTTTTCATGGTTTGAGTTTCAAATGGTTAACTAGGGCGTTGAAGTGGGAGGCCTATGAAACGGGGAAAACCCTATTTCCAAGAAGGCTTATCCCTTGCGTTCGTTTTTTCCTAAAAATAAGGCTTCGTGCCACCCGGGGCCTAGTCGCTTCGGATGGGTGCGAGCTCGTACAGGGTTTCGAAATCGGGGCGCCCGAGGCGCCAGCGGCAGCGCCCCGATTTCGAAGTGAGCGGCAGCCCATCCGAAGCGACGGCCCCCCTTGCCTGACAATGCTACAAGCTATTTTTTCTTGGTAACTACCAGTTTTTGGTTATTTATTTAGTTAAAAACCCACAAAAATACGAGTTTTTCGCAAGCGCCGTAAAATGGAATTTTCCCGATATTCAATAAAATATTAATTTAATATTTTTTCCTAAATAGCATTTTCGCGGGCTAGGATAGTGTTTTTCGGAATCAGCGCAAAAAACTAGCCCGGAAACATGAGGTTTTGGCGAAATATAAGTGGGGCCAGCAAACTGAAGTAGCGCCGAAAGTAGAGCTAAATCGGGATCGTTTGAGACGATTTTTCTTTCAGACAACTAAAAGCTCCAATGATATAGAGTGGCTGCAAAATACCATTCTTTAGCTTGTAAACAAGTTAGAAAAACAAAAAAACTATGTATCGATGGACCCCGAAAGAAATGAGTCATCAAAACCAACGTCGTCTATAACGAAATCGCGCGATGTTATCTATCTAGCTAAACAAACATAAAAAACAATATCGAGATGATAGAATTGATTGTGACACCCGCTAGGGGATGAGTGAGCAGTCGGGGCAACCGGCTCCATCGGAGCGCTGGAATTGGGTGCGTAGCGGGCTTGTCACGTTAGCTGCGCCGGGGAACATTTCCCATGGGAAGAGCGAGAGGGCGCCGACGGGCAAAGAATTGGGGACAGCATTTAGGGGAGAGAGCGGCCGGTTGGATTACGCAACGGAGAGAAACCTTTGAAAATAAAAGGATTCGGATAGTTTGATCGGAAATCTTTGATAAATGGGGAAAATTTCACTTTACGGTATGGTCCCAAAATGTAAATTTTTCGACTGGAATCGGTGCAGCTCGATGAGTTTGTGCGTTTCCAGTTGAAAAAACGATTGGGAAACATTTCTGGACAAAGTTATAGACTTTTGAAAATCGCTAGTTCACTTTACGGTATGTGAACAAAACCTCAATTTTTGAACAGGAAACGATAAAGCTCGATGAGATAAAGCGTTTTCAGTTGAAAAAACAATTGGGAAATTTAAAATAAGAAAGTTATGACGTTTCAAAGATATTTTTGCTAAGGACTGTAGGCTACGCAACACTCCTATCACCGCATTCTAGCGCGTGCGCACTCTGCCAGCGCTTACGTACTTATCTAAAAGCATTTATAATTTTTAAAACTAGTATTTTAAGCATAGAATAGATAAATAACAGTTAGTTGTGGCCTCCAACATTGTCAGGCAAGGCGGGCCGTCGCTTCGGATGGGCTGCCGCTCCACTCTTCCGAAATCGGGGCGCCTGGGCGCTGCGCGCTCCTCGGGCGCCCCGATTTCGAAACCCTGCACGAGCTCGCACCCATCCGAAGCGACTAGGCCCCCGAGTGGCACGAAGCCTTATTTTTAGGCTTAAATTGGGTGTTCAGCTAGCAAGCCCCTTCAAAAAGGCCATATTTTGGTACATTTTCATAGTAATTTTCAAAAGCTAATAACTTTGTCCAGAAGCGTTTCCCAATCGTTTTTTCAACTGAAAACGCACGAACTCGTCGGGATACATCGATTCCAGACGAAAAAATGACATTTTGAGAACATACCGTAAAGTGAAATTTAGCCGATAAATGTTGTTTTCTAATTTTTCTTTAGATTTTGTAAAAATTGTGAAAAGTTGACTGAAAAAAAAAAGAGAAAGCCTTGCCGTTTCAAAATCCGTCCTAATTTTGTAAAGTGGACTGACGCGTAGTGCTTCTCGGAAATTTTTTTCTTGAAGAATAAATTATCTTTTTTAATCTATTTTTATTCATTTTAATTAATTTTATTATTACGTTTACCTTTAAATTAGTATGAAATCACAAATTCTCCTTTAGAAACCGCCGAAATGAGCAAGCAACCGCGTCGGAAGAACAATGCACAGGTTGATACCCCCTCTAAATATTTATCCCAGCTTTAGAGCGCCAGCAGCGGTCGAGCAGCCGATCTATTGGCCCGAGCCGAGGGCAATGCCCTTGGATTCCTGGCCCACGGCGCGAATAACCCGTTCGAAGCAGCAACAGCCGCCTTCAGCGAGTCGCCGGCAACCTCGAACGCCGTCGAGTTGGACTCAGAAGTGGCGCTGGTCTTGAAGAAGCTGGTCAAGAAGGACCCGCTAACAAGGGAAAAGGTTCGTGGCAAATTTAGAGCCTAAAGACCGATTTTAGGCGCTACGGGAGCTGCTAGAAGCCTCGGACAATCGGGAGCCGGCGGTCCTTCTAGAAATCTTTCGGTATTTCGCTGCCAGTTCTGATAAGCTGATTTTGGTAAGTTTTTCTTGGCTTTTACCTAAAGCAATATTAGGATGGCTCGGCGCCCGTGCGGGCCTATGCTCTACGCGCCTTGAGTTTCTATGTATCGGGTTTGAGGAAGACGGCTCAGAAATATCTCAAACAGGTTAGTATAAATCAGCCAACAATCATGAATGCTTCAGATCGCTCCATTCGTTATATTTGCTCAATCGGACCCAAGCGGTTCCGTTGCCCAGCGAGCTGAGAAGTTTATTTCGGAAAATTTCCCGGCTGAAAAGCGTGACCAGGTAAGAATTTCTGATTACAGCTAAATCACGCTTTTTTCAAGTTCATCAATATCTTTGGCCCCGAAGCGGCGAGAATATCTGGAGAATTTTTGCGAAAAGAGCATGCTTTAAATGAAGCGCA